ATTTATCTACCTGCAGTCTATTACTGACCAGTTCTTTTTTCTCTCCTTGTTCTTGTAACTGTTTCATCATCTGAATTCTGCTCTGACAGCTGAAAGGTGTCACTGTGGAGTCTTCAAACAGTTGTGGGCGGGGATGTCATTGACTTGATCCATAAGGAATCCAACTGTCACCTCTACCCAATTCCTTAATGAGTTGCCTATTTTCTATTCCATGGCTTTTCATGTTGATCTGCAGATAGCAGCAAATCCATTGTAGAATAGAATTAAAAAAACCCTCTTTTGCCCCTCCAGCAGTGTTACCCCCATCCTTTCTTTAAGTTTGTTCCCTGGCTTCCCTCCTAGTTCCACATCCTATGCCTTATTCATTGTGCATAATCCTGTGTCTGCAGCCATTTTATTTCCTCTGTTACTTCTCTTTTTTTTTTAAGGTTGGTGGCAGAGATTCAAAACTGCAAATGTAACAAATAAGGTTCAGCCTTTATCTTTCCTTCTCTTTCTCCCCCCTTCCTCTTTTTTCAAATATTATCATTTTCTTGAGCTTCACCCCATGAGCTCTTCCTTACTTAATCAAATTCCCCCTGAAGTCTTAACCACTGTAACTGCATGTGGCTGAGTGTTTGATCTCTGACAAGTGCAAGGCAAGTTGAACTGGATTTAAAATTTATCTGAGCAGTGACCTTGTCTACTATTATGTTTGACTGTTTCCTGCCAAAGCACGTTGTAAATTCCTTCGTTGTCTGTCCTGTTAAAGTTTGTACAAAATCGGTCATTTCTCATTTTTCACATTTCAGGCTGCTGGGAAGGGGCTCAATGTTTGTGTTCTCCCCAGAACAATTTCAAAGACTGCTTAAAATAAATCCCGAATGGAAATCCCACAGACTGCTTGATTTAGGGGCTGGGGATGGAGAAGTCACTAAAGTCATGAGTCCTCACTTTGAAGAAATCTATGCCACTGAACTGTCTGAAACAATGATATGGCAGCTTCAGAAGAAGAAATACAGGTATGGCACCAAACACTTCCTACATCCTTTATATCAGACATTACAGCAAAGTGATCTATCTGTGATATTTAATGAATGTTCAGTATTTTCAGTCAGTTCCTTTACTGATTGCTATAGAAAAGGTTAATCTGTACAAAAGCAGGAAAACAAACACATCTGATGTTCCCTCTGACCAGTGGTGTTTTTCGTCTCCTTTATTACCTGATGATTGTAAGGCAGTATAAAGGTTCACAGGGCTGGATATTTTAGCCATGCTGATCACTGATTTAGTTTTCTTTTCCAAAAGACCAGAAGGGATCCTGTCTGTCTCTTCTCATTGCCTGAGTGGCTGACCTTACCTGCAGAACCAGCACATCCACGGGGAATTTTTGTCTTCAGTGGTTCTCTCTGAACTCAGCTCGTTTTTAACAGACCACATCTCTTTTTCTTTCCCTTTTTAGGGTGCTTGGTGTAAATGAATGGCAAAACACAGGATTTCAGTATGATGTTATCAGCTGTTTGAATTTGCTGGACCGCTGTGATCAACCACTGACTCTATTAAAGGATATTAGAAGTGTAGTGGAGCCAACCAAAGGCAGAGTCATTCTAGCACTGGTTCTGCCATTTCACCCCTATGTGGAAAATGGTAAGTACACAGATTAACAGTTATTTAGGCAGGTAGAGAAAACCTCTGTAGGATATAGCATTCCAAATTAAATGTTTAATAAATGACATGCTCCTATTTGATTTTTTTGCAAATAACTTGTACAGGGCATACTCAGAAGTATGAAATCATAGGTAAATAGGCCACATGATGTAAGCTGCTTACTTAATTCACCAGCATATATTGTTGGCACCAACGAAAAGCTCAAATGCTGAAGTCACAGATCCTGTTCTGCAAGTTGCCACACTGGAGTAACGTGGGAAAACTGCTCTCTGATTAGGGCCCTTCAGCTCTAGGTAACCCCAGTTCTCTCGTGTGACCCACTGAGCAAAACTATCAGAACTGTCTAATGCTGAATAAAACAGCTCAGCTCAAACTGTTTCAAGTGTTCCAGGTGAATCCCACCTAAAAATTCACAGGGAGAGAACGTTCACTTTCCAACATGAGCTCTCCAAGTAAAATATAGACCCCTCCTAATACAAAGTGTCGACCACTGTTAATGTTCTGTTAATTTATATTGTCCTAGTAACAGGCATAAAAGAGTAAAATTCAGTGCCAAGACTCCATTATTTCCCCTAATTGCATTTTAAAGAAATACATGAGAGATTTTCAAATTAACCTCTCCTTGTGATTTACCTTCAAAAGAGAAACTCTTCTTTACATGTCTCTGATGGTGGATTCTGGTGGAGGCACCCTAAAGGTGGTTTGAATTCCAGAAGGCTGGTGTTCATCAGTCATTGTTTGGATTCTGGTTCTTCTTGAGTATTAAGACTTGTCTGTGGAAAGGCATGGATGCCCAGAAAATACAGAACTAATAACGTTCTGGCAATCACAAATATGCATCAAACTGAATCTGGTGTTCTCTTTTTATGTGTCAGGGGGATTTTGGTGGGAGATAGGAGACAAAAGGTTTTAAGTATAAAAAAATAATACCATCAGATTAAGAAATACTGTATGAAGAATACTATAATATTTAAGCTTATAGTTTTGTAACTATTCTGAAAAGCAGTGTCTTAAATTGGATTGAGGGGTTCCCTTATGCACATGTACAGTATTTCAACAATATTTGGTCACAACCTGTTGTTCCTGTCACGTGGAACAACATGACTTCCTCCTGTAGAAATCCTTTAAAACTCTAAATACCAGCAGTGTCTTTCTAGTGTGTCACTGGCATATTAGAAGCAGAAACTGAAAAATACTTCGGGTGGCTGTTTTGTTTCTGTGCCTTCAAAGCCTCAAAACACAAGAGTGTTTTGCAATCACTCCTGCACCTTCTTCTGTGCACGTTGTTGGGTAACCCTGTGGCAGACCATGCACAATTCCCTGGCTCCACAGGGAGTGTTCAGGAAGAAACTGTTCCAAGTCCCCTTGTATTGTACACTGGGAGGAGAATAGTGGTAAAATTTATAAATCCCAGGGGACTGGAAACCTGTTCTGTGGTTGTTGAACTTAGGCATTCCTACTTGTTGAAAGCTGAAATACTGTTGTAAGGTGTTTTGTAAACCCAAGTCGTAATTTTATTCGTGGTGGTGACTTGTAGCAGATTAGTCACCTTGCTTGAGGCAGTTTTATTCCCATAATATGTTCTGAAAGTTAAAGACATGCTCAGTTTGTCTGTTTGCCATCTATTGTGGATGTGGACCCATATACACAATGCAAGTTAGCACAGACAAAAGTGACTGTCATTCCACAGATGCTTTCCCACTTAAAATCTGTTTAACTGTAGCCTGAAGAAACAAGACACTGAACTGCCAAACTGTCTTCATGATGTACAAAACAACTGTAGAATTTCAGTATTTTCACTCAGCTGTTTCACTGGATGCATTTTAAAAAATTATAGATATGTACATATGCTTTATATTTAACGAAATTATACCTGGAACATTCAAAGAGGAGAGCATTTCATGGCTCGAGTAACTTCTTGTAGCAGCTAATTAAAACCAGCTTGGACCCACATAGAGAACTGTGAATTTTGTGGAGGGAGAACAAATGGAGAAGAGTTGGGGGCAGGCAAGGTGTTTGATCAGTGTAAAGAATCTGTTCCTAGAAATGGAGAAATGATTTAAATCAAAACGAGATATTGGGGTTATTACACGTGGTGCAATGGGATGGTAATGGTGGAAACTGTCTGTGTGAATCACATAAAACTTGCTTTAATAGAACAAAGCAAGGTGGAGGAGGAAGTAAAACACAGATCTGGGCTTACTGTTTCTGGAATTACAGTGACACCTAGAGTCCAGAGTAGCTTCACTGTAAATTCTGTGCCTTCTCAGCTTTATTTTCAACGTGCAGAACAGCAGTCATGCAATTATTGCACATGTCTAAATTTGCCAAGAAAGCCTGGGGAGTCAGAAGGTGTTAGACCAGTCACATGAGAACAGTTACTACAGCTTTATAGTTTTGACAGGTATCTCAGAGGGTCATGTAAGAATCCTTAGTATTTCCTAATACAGACATAATATTTACATGAAAAGTCATTACTAGATAATACATGAGTGGACTGGTTGAAGTTTCTCTAAAATAAAATGTCAAAGATCCCACATTTCAGAACAGTGAACACTACCAGCCTGGGAGTGTGGAATTTTCTTCTTGAACACATCAATGTCCTTGTGATTGATTGACAGGGATGAGAAGGCAAAGGCGTGTTTTCCATCCTCCTGAAACATTTGCTGTTAAATGGAGCTGGAAACACCCAGTGCTGTGGGAGATGGATCCTTGCTTTGTCTCACTTGTCAGTTCTCATCTCGCTGAAGTGAGAAATGCCATTTCATTTGTTAAACAAAGCCTTGCTTTATTTAAACTATGGTAAAAGATGCAGCTGTTCTTTAGTAGGGAGGATGCCTGATCATATCAGATATCTTGTAGAAGTGCTGATTTTGTAGATTGGCTGGGTGGCAACTGCTAAAGAAGAAAAGGTACTGTAAAAAAGGAAAAAATTATCCTGCCTTTCACTGGGTAATACAGTTCTGATTTGTGCTTGTGTCCGTGTTGAACAGGCACAGAAAGGCAAAACTTGGTGCTCCAGGTAATTCTGACTTTGAATGATGGGGCTGGAAGAAGGGGATTTTTTGTTCAGCAAGTGAATTTTAGTATTATTTAATTATACCATTTCACAGTGACCAGTACTTTCCTTTCCTAGAGAGCCTAGGAAGAAACTCCCATCCCAAATGAGCTTTGCCACGATAGTACATGTGTTTATATAGTCATTTTTTTCTGCTTGCCTGTCTAATACACAGGATTTACTCTGTTTAAGCTCTTGTTAGGCCTCTGCAGCTGTTGGTCTGTCTATTTTACATCAGTAACTATCACATTAACAGGACTACACCCAGAATTCACCTATGAAACGAGAATTTCACCTATGAAACAAGTTTATTTTCTGTTGCTGTCAATTATCATACATCTTTCACAAATGCTCAATTCATGTCAAAGGAATACATACAAGTTTATGTAAAAAGGAAAAAAAAAGACATAAAATTAAATCTAAACTGAAAAAGGAAATTTTTCATAAGCATCAGCAGTTGTCTCATGAGAGAGGGACCGTTTTCCCACAGTTCTCATTCCTGCAGCACGGACAGTGGAATCTGTAACACAGGGATCATGCACAGTGCCCTTGGGTTTGGTGAGCTGTTCAGAAAATCCTCCTGAGGAAACCTTGCAGGGCAGAGCCCTTCACCTCCCTTTAAAGCAAAGGAGATCTGAGAAAAAGCTTCACTTCTTCAGCTGCCCCTTTGCTTGCACGGCAGACACCGAACAGGCCTGAAGTGCTGCACGTGCTCATCTGTTCTGGTAAACAGTGTCATCTTCCAGGCCATCCTGAAGGAAAAATGCAGAAGGATTTTCTGACTGATGTGAATTCTTTTTCATATAAAGGCAGAAGTTATTTTTTGAGGCGAAGTCCATCTTGGCAAAATACAAATTAATGGAAGTTTCATTTTTAAATGTCCATGCGTATATTTTATAAATTATATAGTATCATATATATATATGTATATATAATTGTATATGTGTGGTCATTTAGAATGATTTATAGTGTCTTTGACTGTTGTGCAGAATTCTTTTTTAAGACCTTTATCAACTTTAAAAAAGAAAAGTCTATTTCCAGAGGATATATAAAGGGTATACTCTTAAAAAATCTTGGTTCCCCATAAATTTTGGTATGGGTGGGTAGATACTTACAGGCTGTTGGCAGTGCTCAGCAAACCTGTGCTTTTGAAGTTCTTGGGCAATTGCTTGAAAAACTTTTCGTCCACTATTTATTTTCTGCAAATTATTAAAAGCATTTTAGATTATTGCAACGTTTTAAGTTGTGGGAAACATCTTCTTCTAGCTTTGATAATTCTGCATTTTTACCTGACTATGTCTTTTGGAGCATTACTAAATAACACTCTAAAAGCACATGGTTTGGCAGGCAGAAGAGTTATGAATTACATTGCTATTGCATTACTTAACATACATAAGGAAAGGAAAGATATGTAAGAAAACATAACTTATTTAATGGGTATTTAAATGTATGGCTTTGGGTTTATTATTCAAGGATACATTGGGGCATATATTCTTAATAGAATTGTTTTAAATACTTCTTTAAATGGATTGTTTAAAGAAACAAAAAATTATTAGCAACATCTGTTATTTTCAGAAGCTTGAACAAAATTTACTTAAAACCTGTGTGTGGCCTTTACACACATTAACTTTATCCTGTATCCAGTGTGTTAAAAATGAATCAACTAATTAGTTAAAATCAGTTAAATATAAGCTCATAACTCGTTTTGTGCAAATCTAAAGTGAAGCCTCGACAGCTTTGAATGTCTCTTTAACGGAATCATCAATTAATCACAAATTTGATGCCCAGTATACTTTAAAAAGACAGAAAGAAGCAGCTCTGAATGACAGACAGGGCAAAGGAAGTGGTAACATACACAGTTCTCTGGTCTTCCACTTTTCTTTAGCAGCTTTGGTTTTAACTGGAGGGAAAATAAAAACCAATTAAAACAGAAGAAGGGAAGCAAGCAGAACAAGTGTCAGTTTGTAGATAAGTCATTCATTAGATCAGTTTGTGTCATTGTAAAAATCAGGCATTTTTGCATGTGTGAAGCCTTTTTCAGCTTCTGGTAGTGGATACTGCAACTATTTTTGCTTTGAGTACAGTGGGACCTGCCTGAGACACAACTTTATTTTGACAGGAAATTTGAATTTTTTTCCTTTTACTGGAAATTAATCCAGAGAGTTGATGACTTAAGATGGAAATTCCTAGTTTTGCTTTTTGAGTGTGTTGGGTAATTGTAACTTCAGAATACCTTTTCTTTTAGACACTTCCCTGAAAAAAGAAAATGTGGTTGCTGTTGAGTCCAGGTCTGTGCCACACAAGAGTTCCTAAACGTGTGCAGCACATGAGCTTCAACCAGCCACCTCTTTAAAACAACCATAAGAGTTATGAAATCTGGGAAGGTGTTTTTAATCTCCTTATGGAGAGGTTAAAACTGCACAGATTTCCAAAATGAACATCAGAAATGCCCTTCTGAGCCTACCTTGTAGACCGCAAAGAACGTGAACACAGCAGAGCTGTACACGAACAGCAGGGCTGAGATGATGATCATGGAGGTGAAGGCAACTTTCCCACTGCTCTGCTGCTCTCCTGCTCCATTATTAAAAGTGAGTGTTAGAATAAAGGACAGTTCTTCTGATTCACATCATTTTCTTAAGGTTCTGCATTCCACCCCCCTTCCTCTGAGCAATTAAAAAACCTGATACTCATCAGTATTTTTCTGGGTCATTTTCGGTCTAAATTCCTCAGTGAGATCATTTTCCTTTTTGTTTCCCCAGATGTTTGCAATGGAGACCTGTTAGTTTTGGTTATGAACCCTTTCTAATAGGGGTAGAGAGAGAATGGAATCCAGTTTTCTGCTCTTGTAGAGGTACCTCTGAGTAAAGCTCACAGACTTCTGTTCTGGAACTGAGTTAGATAGGGGGAGAAATACAGAAATAATCCAGCTAGGTGTTTCCTTTTTATTTTTTTCTTTCTGTATTTTAGCATGTCAAAGGTTTAGAACTGAAACCTTTGTCTCGGGTTGGCACAGTGAACCCCGGGGTCAGACCCTGGTTTCTGCTGCACGTATGGCTGCTAAAAATGTGTTTCTGTACTTCCCATTTTTTCTGTTGATACTTCCCTTCTGATTTTCATTAAAGCCTTTATGTAAGAGGCTGTAGAGTATGGTTAGGCAGCAGCAGTACAAAACTTCTTTCTTTTGTGGAGTTCTAGTCATTTGCATCCTGTGACAGAACAGTCTAATTAGCAAACGAGGCTGAGATGCTTATTAGTAGAATGGTTTTCCTATTAACATTTCAATGTAGTCACACTACTCTTAACGGGTTTGTTGGTATTTCCATCTTAAATGTCATTCTTGAAAGTAGAAATAGAGTGTTTAGAAAAGGTAATTTCTTCTAAGAAGCTTCGTTAAGAAGGAATGAACAACTGACCTGTTTTCATCAGTACTGTTCCATCTCCTGTTTGTTTGGAACGGGGTGAAAGTGAATCTGAGAAGGCAATTCCACAGATATAAACAGCACTGTCTTCTACAGTCAGGTTTTTGATCTCAAGTGAAGTGCTACTCTCTGATAAACGTACTTTGTACTTCTGCTGGTCTGTGCATCCAGGAGTGCACAAATCCTGATGTGTGTTGGTTAAAAAGCGAAACCACAGAACTTCAGGTGGGGACTGGGAGCATCCAGAGGCAGAGAAAGCACAGGTTAGGACCACAGTGTCCATGGAGGAATCAGCTTCCTGAACTCTGGGTTGTGTTACAGTGACTTGGCAGTTGTCTGCAACACCTGTTGAGAGGGAGCAATTGGTGATGTGAGGGACAGTTAAAAAGCAAGGTACAATCTGCAGTACAGAGCATTTCTGCAGGGCTTTCTCTCTCCACTGTTCCTGATCTGAGTCAAGCAAGGCAACCTGATGGCAGGCAGGGGAAATGTCATAAATTGAGGCATTTATAATTTAGCAACTCCATAACATTGATTAGAATTCACAGTAGTTCCTAGATATTCTTCCACTTCATCACATATATTGACTCTGGATTTCTAAGGATAATAATAGTACTTGTTAGTTCTGACATTTAAAGATGTGTGCAGAGAAAACAGGAAGGTTAATCAGAGAATTCTAATTAAGGAACTGAAAGGTAAGGTTTAATATGACTGGTCTGGGAGATTTTTGTTATAAGTCCTTATTGAAATCCATAATGTAAATACTGTTTCAGTATATTTAAATTTTATTCAAATAAATGACATAGTTATTTGAACTATGGAATTAAGATTATTGCACTGAAAATGAAGGTAGTAGCTTCACAGCATCCTTTTCTACATCCCAAAAAAAACAACTTAGAAGAAAAATAAACTGAAGTCTCTCATTGCTGTTCACACACAATTTATAAGCCTGTCCATGGTGAGCAGTCAGCATTGGCCCTTCGTCATTTTGCTCACCAAATCCAGGCAGATTCAGTGTCTATGACTTGTACAGGAATAAAATGAAACTCTCATTCTTTGTCAGGTCAACATCAGAGCCATTCCCCAGCAATCTGCAGATTGTAGTAATGTAAGTTGTGGGTGTCCTTGCACCCTGTGTGGTGCAAGGCAGCACCTTGTGCTTCTGCAGTTGATCCCCTCCCCTCTTCCACCTTACCCAGGGGCTCTGGTGGCCTCAGGTCCTGTAGGCACTGCCTGCTGAGCTCCCCAAACCCTCCTCCCAAACCAGCACAGTTGCACTGAGCTCAGGCTGCTGCTGGAGCGTTCTGAGCAGGGAAGGGCAGTAAGGTTTGACTCAGAAATCGCAGCTTACCTGAGCATTTCAGAGTTTTGGAAGAAAAGGCGTTTGCCAGCAGTTGTTTACCTTGGAGGTTGTGTGAAGATAGTAGAAATTAACTTGATTCACAGAGGAACTTTTCACTGCTCTTATTTTATAGCTCTGTTGCAAATCATCACCACAAAATTCTCAGTCTTGTTTAACTGCTGTTACACGAGAAAATGTAAGAAATTTAAAAGAGGTCTTACCAGCACTGTACAGAATCCAGTCAAACGCCAGCACTAGCACATTTTTTAGTTTGTTGAAAGGTGCCATTTCTTGTATCTCTCTGGAAATGATTCTGCTTGAAGGAAGAGGAACTTAGGAAATGTTTGGAGTTGCAGAACTGTCTGAATCACAAGATGTAGAACTTCCTGTTTAGAAGGGTGTTTACTACTGCATTTAGCAGACTGGTTAAAAGTCCAGAACAAACCAGAAAGCTTTTGGGTTTTGTGCATGACACTGCTTGGAAAACGAGGGAAGAATTTTAAATTTTGAACTTCAGAGAGTCGTACCTATAATCCTTCAGATTGTTTCATTGGGTATAACCGATAGCTTGTTCTCCAGCACGGTGCAAGGTGCTTGGTATTTTTATAGCTGTGACCCTCAGCAGCCCCTACCGTGTCAGCTGGTAGGTGGCCACTGGAGGCACCAAGATTCTGTAGCCATCCACTGTCATGTGGAGGAAGCTTCTCAGCCAGTCATCCTTTTCAGCTTGCTGATTCTGTTTACTGTAATTACCTGCAGCCATCTTTGGCCAGACAGTGGGCATAAAGAATGTCATAGAGGTGGAAAATAGCATTATTAAATTGTCTATCCATGTCTGCTGAACACCAGCCTTGGTAGTGGAAGGTACCTTTTAGCCACTCTTGGAACTGTTAAAGATTTAACAAAAGATAACCTTGAGAAGCTGCTGCTTTTGTACACCAGGAAAAAACTTGAACTGGTCTTGCAACGGGTCTACAAGTGGCTTGTCAGCCTCCTGTGTGGAGTGGCATGGAACATAATCAGTGTAATTATGCTTTCTGTAAGAAAACACAGCGCTGTAAAGTTTGCTTTATGACTGAAACAAAACTGTTCTGTTTCCTCAGTAGGTGGCAAGTGGGAAAAGCCCTCAGAAGTTTTGGAAATCAAAGGGCAGACTTGGGAAGAGCAGGTGAACAGCCTGCCAGAAGTTTTCAGCAAAGCTGGTTTTGCCATCGAGGCTTTCACCAGACTGCCATACCTGTGTGAGGGGGACATGTACAATGACTACTACGTGCTGGACGACGCTGTCTTCGTCCTCAAGCCAGTGTAAGGTGTCTGAAGGAAACCCCCAGAATCTAACCCGAGGAACAGCAGCCTCTGAAAGAGGGTTTTGATTTATGGTTACTTAAAGGGAGGGAATTTTTGGGATTGCCGTGCTAAATAAATACCGTGTAAGAAATTTAAAGGCCAAAATACTAATGTATTTCTTTGTAGTGTGATTAGGGGGGGGGAAAAAAAAAGGTTGTTTTTTAAACAGACTCCTCCATTGAGAATTTCTTTTTTACCTGCTCTTAAACCAACAATGCATTCTGCAATCCAGCAGCAATGGGGGATATTTTTTTATATTTACCTGCAACAGGGATCAGATCCAAACAAAAGCAATATTCCTCATAATGGTGAAACTGATACAGTGTGAACTGTTAAAGAAATCGAGCAAAATCTGGCAATAAACTTATCCATTCAGTTCAAGCCTTGTTGAATAAAAACTGTTAAAATGGATATTCTTCCATGCTAAGTTACTTTCTTACTGTCGTTCTTCACGTTTTTAATCATGCTAATAAACTTTTTTGAGATGACTTTTGCATTAACTTTTGTGTTCTTTTTTGTAACCATAGCCACACTTACCTGCAGCAACTGCTCTTTGTGTTGAGAATCAAGTTTTCAGCAGCAGCCCCACCTTGCATTTGTGTAAACAGCATTTGATTATTGTTTGAAGGGATAACAGTCCACAAAAAATGTCTCACTTTTGGTTGGGTTTCCTTCATGTTCCTCTCCAAGCCTCATGAATTCTCACTGCTTTTGCATGTGCCATCTCCCAGCTAAAGGGGTTATGGTAGGACTTGCCAAAACTGCACTTTAAAAGGGTGGGTGTAATGACAAACTCTCTGAGCAAGTTGTTCCCAAATGTTTTCAGCTCTAAAAACTTGCAGGCAGTTTCTTTTGAGTTCTGTGAGTCCAGCTGCCTCTGAGGATCGGGCCCTGGGGACTTGATTGTGAGGGTTTTGCTAGCTTGAGACATTTTCATCAGGAGCACTAAACAAATGCTATTTTTTTTAACATATCTTGTTTTAAAAAACTGTTTAAAGTGGATGATTTCTGGCAGTTGGGATATAAGCTTTAGAACAACAAGCAGCAGCAGAAATAGCGCCGAACTGGCAGCTGTGTGTCTTGCAGTGCTTGGGCTGTAAGTGTGAGAGAGCAGAGAAACCTCAGCTTTTATATCATCTGGTAAGTAAAGCAAGAACTGATTTATATTGCTTTTGAAGTCCAAAAAAGTTGTGTGTTGGCGTTTTTATAATTACTGGTGATCTTATGCCAGGTGGGATGCCGTGAATGTGTCATTTTAGGTTTACCTTGGGCTGGCTTTGCCTGATGGTTGATGATTTCTCTTGCCAATTTATGTGCCTTTTATTCTCGGTCATCTTTGTGGAGTAGTGAGTATTCTGTAGGATGTGGTGAGGGGGTTGATTTGGTGGGGTTTTTCAACAGTAATTTGGACTCAGTGTTGTTCTCGTTTCAGGATGTGCTGTTGAATTTTTGCACATAGTACAATGAGATTTGTCTGTTGGGAAAATGAGCTATGTATGCTCTGGAGTGAATCCATCAATTTATCTTCTGTTCGTCTTGTACTCATCTGGTAGTGGGAAAATGTTTTTTAATGTGTAATGAATTTAGCTTAAAGTAGCAGATATGTGTTAAGACAAACTTCTTAAAAGGTACTTAAGTGCATTAATCCCACTGGTTAAAAATCACCCAAGGGACTGCATTTCATGTCTCTCATCTCTTAGTCCTGTCACTTAGAATTTCAGTTTGTAATAGCTTTGAGAAGTTTTGGGACAGGAGGCACAATGTAAATAATAGGTTTTTGTTTTATTCTTTCCTATGATCTACTTCGTTCACTTTATTTAAACAAGTATTGTTACCCTTGAGATGGGGAATTAAAACATGAGCATTAACGGGAAAAAGCTTTCTATGAGTAAGCCTAAATTCAGCAGGGTGGAAAACCTGCTTAGTCCTGTTGAATAAACAGAATATCTCTGAGGGCACTGTACCTACACCCGAATTTCTAAAGCCAGAGTTCCTTGTGAGGGAAGGAGAGCAGTGCAGCTCAATGAGTCAGGAAAGGGGCTTCCTTCTCCTTTCAGCCTTGAGAGAGCATTTGTGTGCAGTTTGTACCTGCTCACAGCCCAAGAAACTCGAGTCCAGTCATTCATTAAATTCCCTGAAATGCTTAAGATGTCATCTAAGGGGACAAGTGTTGCAATTCCAGCGTCCAAATTCATTACTCCCAGGTTTGGAAGTCCTGCCTTGTCCCTCTGCTGTTCCTGTCCTGCTGTGGGAGACAAGTGTGCAGGTTGCATTTGGTGGTCTCACTAACGTGTGGTGTTTTGCCCTGCAGAGTAACTGAACCGTGTGTTCTGTCAGGGTGGCGCTGGATGTGTCGCATCGCAGGAGGAAGATGCTGTGCAAGGGTGTGATTAAGCCAGAAACTTCCAACGCGAAGTTAGAACGACCTGGTCTCCCGACACCGCAGCCCCCTTTTGCTGGGCGGGCCCAGGTCCGTTCCCGTTCGTCTCTGAGGAGCCCCCTGCCCGTGCTTGGGCTGGGGAGATGGGGGGAGTGGGGCAGCACCAGCCCAGCCTGGGTATCCCCACGCAGCTCCTTGAGGTCTCTTCATCTCGGGAGGGGGAACATCCTCCCCTGCCTGCCGGGGGAGTCCCTGGCCCTCTGAGCCCCCCTCAGAGGAGGTGTTTGCCCTCCCCTCTGGCTGCTGGGCAGACACCGGGGCGGTGCTGGCCCCTGTCCCTGTCCCTGCCCCTGCCCAGGGTCCCTGCCCGGAGCCGCCCAGCTCTCGGCTCTGCGGGTGCCGGGAAGGAGGCGCGCACGGCAGAGGCAGGTAAAGTGCTCCGGGGTCCCGGCTCTCCCCGAGAACCCACAGTCTCCTTCTCTTCTGCCCTCCCCTCTCTCCCTTTCCAGCCCGGACCCCTCGCGGGTTCCCTCGCTGCGTATGGGGCTTTTTGTCAGAGATGCTGCGAGCCCGGGTGCAGGGGTGGGCACTGCCAGTGCGAGGGCTTATCAACAAGATTTGTGATTATGAGGTCAGCTTTCTGGTTATCCCGCTTCAGATAAGGCAGCAACTGCATCGGAGAGGGTGATAAAATGTCTAGGATTTCTGTACATGGAAGAGCGGCTGTTGAGGGAGCAAGAGGAGAAGGCGGTCTGGGAGCTCCTTAAGGGTGACTTGTCAGAGATCTGATCACAGCATAAGCAAGGAACAGTCTCTGGGGAAATGCTGGATAGGATCTGCAAGAGATGCCCACGGACTGATTTGGGATCGTCTGAAAGCTGCAGTGAACCGAAAACAGACTTAGTTTCACTGACAAAAGGAACTATTTCCCACAGGTTGTCTTGCCAAGCAGGGCTGTTTCACAGCAGACTTTTTCTGCACCTGCTGATTGTCTGCCTGAATTAGGGTGAAAAAGCACTTCCCTTAGTATTTTATCTCCTTGTATATATTGAGTTAGCATGCTTTAATTAAAGTGCACTCCCTGATCAAGTTGAATGAATTGGAATAAGAAAAATCAGGACTGACATTGGAAGCATGATTTAAACTATGCAGAGTAATCAAACCTTGCTGCAAAATTAATAGGGCAAAGGCAGAAACAAACACAAGTAAGTTCATTGTCTAGGAAACCAGATATATCTGAATGAGAGACATGTACTGTGGTGCTCCCAAAAGAATAGCTGAAAAGGGTTTCAGTGTGTGTAAAAACAAGACAGAGGCGATAGTTCTTAAAGTCTAATGTTTAAATTTTTCATCATCTGTCAGTTTGAGTCACTTCTGTTGCAAGACTGGAGTTAAGTATTTGCAATAGACTGAAGTATTGCTGGAGGCTGTTGAAAGAGGTTTTCATAAAAGAGTACCTTGATACATGAGATTAAACAATCCAAGAAAGGAGTTCGTATTTATCAAATGTTCAGATCTGTAACTCAAGCTGTGGCAGAGAACTTTGAAAAAAAATGAAAAAAGGAGAGCAAGAATGGATCCAAACCCAGCAACAAAAGGAAATGCAGAAATTCGGTGTGTTGCAGATAAACCTTTGAAATGAGGGAAAGGGAGAGAAAACCGAACAAAGTCATCTCAGGGTCAGAGCCAAGTTGGCCAGCGGGGCCCTGTTTGTCATTTGTTAAAGTCAGTGACGAATCCCAGCGTCGGGGCTGCGATCTGTGGAGTTGAGCATCATCCGATATCGGATTAATCAATGGTTTTACCTGTGGGGGTGGTGACTCAGGGCTGAGCAGAGGGCCAGGCTGAGGGGGCAGAGGCAGAAGATCCTCTCTGCAGTAGCTCAGTGCAGTGTGGACCAAAGCAGCTCATGGGCACAGGGGCTGTGAGCGAGACCTGCTCAGCCTCAGCTTCCTTCCCACCCCGCAGCATTCCTGCAGTGTGGATCCTCGTCCTGACCCAAAGCAACACATTCATTTTGTTCTGGACAACTGGGAGTCTGTCAGTCTTCTCTGCTGAGAACCAGTGACACCCCAGTGAGAAGCCCTGGGTATCCCCTTACTGCCCTTCCAGCTGGTTTGTCCTTCAGAGATCTTTCTGCCACACAGCCCAGGGCAGCAGGGATGGCAAGGGATGACTTAGTAAATAAATGGTGCTACCAGCAAGAAAATTAAGCAAGCCACTTAGTAAAAGGGAAATAAATCTGGCTGCACACGCACACTTGGCATGTGTTTGCATAAAAAATATCTCTATCCTGGAAAAAGATCTAAATTAAAAACTTGGGAGCAAACATTTTTAGGTCGTTCTGATCTCTATCTGCGCTCCACAGCATAGGCTGTCTCTGATTTATAGCAGTGAAAGTTTGGGGTGAATATTGCCTTTTGACTCTCTCCTTTCTATTTTCCTTTTCAATCCAAATGTCTCTTGATTCTAATAAACACCAGAAGAAATGTCCAGGCTTTTGAAGATCTGTTTCTTGTTGATATCAGTGAATCATGCTGAGATTGCTCACAGTCAGAGCTCTGAAGGTAAGACCAGAACTCCTGTCTGAGGAGTGTGGATGGAAAAAGCTGTGTAATAAATTAGGTGCAGCACTGTTTAGTAACCAGGACCAAAGTCTCTGCTCTCTTGAATTCAAATTCATGGAGCTACACCAGCAAAGAATTTCACCAAGGCTGATTCTCATTTAATAGCCTTTTATTTTCACTGTTTTTCTGTAAATTAATTTAATCCAAACTGCATTAAGTGCTTGTAAATAAATTATGTATGTATATATAGTTTTGATCACTGCATACAATATATGTATTTTTGTGTAACACGAATGATAAAACGTTAAATTAACTTCTAGTAATGGGATAATCTTTTACAGATTTGCCTCCATTATTACACAAAGCTCTGGTTAGTATTTTTATTTGATCTTTCTTCTAACATTTTATATTATAATCTAATAATAATAATTTATTACCTATATTTGCAATTTTTTCCATAGGAGGAAGTAATAACTGGGAAATATCTGAATGGTAATGTACAAAGTCGTTGCCACTTACACTTCTAAAATGAATTAAGCCTCAGTATCTCACCAGAACTTTTTATGTTCCGTTTTTCATGTGCAGCCCTCCTTGATATACTTAATTTTCAAAGGTAATGTATTACTCTCACCAGCTTGATTTTTCAATATTATCTTGCACTTCTGATATGATCTGTTTCATTTCCACAGAAACTGGGATATTATGGGTGGAATGAAATTGGCACATATGATGACTTTGATTTAGGAGTATTTCCTCTTGACATGGAAAAAGCTGTTTTTCACACAAAAAAAACCCAACAACCCCCTCCCCAACATGCATAGAATGAGGCTGAGGGTAAATACCCGCTGCAGCTTTCAAAGTTGTGATAATTCACTGTGTTCATACGTGTCAGAATGGCTGCTTAAGGAAATCAGGTGCAGTTCCAGCTTTCTGTCCACCTCCCCCTTTCAGTCCCAATCCCCCCCATCCTCCAGCTCTTGGTGACTTCTGAATTATTTGCTAATTTTGTCTGAATTGGAAAGAGCTGTATAAGCCTCAAAGGCCATTCCACTCCTCTGTATTTTGTGGAAATCAGTAGCTGTGGGAAGGAGACCCTGAAAGGAATGACTGCTGAGGGAAAGGCAGCAGACCAGGAAGCACCTCCTGGAGATGGCACTAATGGCAACACCCCGGAAAACTGAGATTATTGAGATTATTGTGGGTGGTTGTGGAATTAGGTGAAAAAAACTTAACTAATTCATTCCATTCTTCATCGAACCAGGTATTTTCGTTGCATTAAATAGATCAGCTGTTACTCTGGTTAGGGCAAAAAGCTGAATACTTGTGTCATTATGGTGTTAGTAGCACTGCTTGTTTTATTTTTTTTACTCTTGTAATCTTCTATTTTACCTGTTATATTATTTTACTGGCATTTTTGGTCCTGTTTTCTGTTACAGTTCTAATGTCTGGACAGCAGATATGCTTACAAAAGTCATGGCATATTTTCATGCCCAGGAAGTTGTGTTTACTCTTAGCAGCCTCCAGGTTGGTGACATTTAAAATGCATGAAAATTTTTATCTTAAAAAAAGAATTTAAAAAGCAACCTATCCCTGTAGCCAAAACTAGGCAGTCAATAATAGAGGTAGCTAACACATCTAAAGTCTAGCAGCTAAATGAGAGTAGGTTTTTTGGTTATCTTTTTCCCCTAAGTTGGCAGGAGTTTGCAAGGCAGAAAAAACAGTGACAATCTTTTTGCTTTTCCTCTGTCTGTCTTTTCCTCTGTTTGTTGGTGGCAGTGCAAGTTAAGCGAAGGCAGCAACGAACTGCAACGCAAATTCCAAACCAATTCTGAAATAATTCTGTCAGGAATTGGAAGGGATTTGACTCCAGTCTGCTGCTAATGAGCCTTACAGTGCTTTCTCTTCCAGTGTTGTGATTCCCCTTGGATTTTTCACAACAGACATGAGATTGTGAGCTGGTAATGCAGGTTGATGGGAGAGAGAATTTTTTTGGCTTAAGACCTGCTACAGACTTTTCCTCCCATCAAATTGCACATTTCCTTCCCTTTTTTAAGTAATAATAATATGCACACAGTACCTGTTTTTTGTTTTTTGTTTTTTGTGGGTTTTTTAGCTCTTTAAAACTTTCATTTTCACAACTCTGCTGTACGAGGCAGAGAAGTTTTATTCATCTTGTTTTATGAGAAACTGAGGCATCTTTGTTAAAAGGCTCCTTGGAGAGGATTTGAAAATAAGTGTCTTTCAGAGTACATTTAGATTACCTTTATTTCCAGTTTGTGTGGAGAATAGTTATTCTGGTCACTGGTAACACAGACAGCCCAGGAGCCAAGCACTTATTTCTCCTTGAGCACAGGATTTTCAGGGAGTAGAAGGTGCCCCTAGAACAACACTATGAGTTCCATGTATATTATACTTATTTTTCTGTGCTTCAGATGTCCATACAAAGTTACCTGAAGAACCTTTTATACCAGCCTAGGCAACTACTGTCTGAATTTCAACAACTTGATCAGCAGCAGTTCCAAACTGCAATGAAGTATCTCTTCAACAGCAGGAAGGAGCACCTTGTAAGTCCCTTTGCAGTTGTGACAAGGAAAAGCTGCAGTCAGTGGTTTGGATAAATGGGAGAGGGACAGACTGGGGGACTCACAGGGCACACTGTGCAGTTCCTTACCTGGCTCACATTAGATTCCAGGAACCCCTCTCCTTAGGTTAGACTTACTTCATTTAATTCTTATTGTCTAAAAGTCTGCTGCCAAGGGCAAGTCATCCTTTGGGTTTTCACTGTCATCAGTAGAGAGAAACAAATCTCCAGAGAATGATTCACCTTCCTGCTCTCATATCTAGGGTAGGTATGACCAGTTATTCTCAGGGAGTGTGTTCTCCTTAAAAGTGACTGGAAAGAGAGCCAAGATGACTAAAGAAGGTGAAATTAGTAATTTTGGTAATTAGTTATAGGAACATGAGAGCAAACTGTTGGAGAATTTGGAGGGGAGGCAGCATGACATGATTTGCTGGTTTCTGGTGTGTTCCTGTGTGACCCATCTGAAAAGCCTCGCTCAGAGGCAGTGGGTGCCTCCCAGGGAGCACTGTCCCTGCACAGGGGATCTCCAGTGCAGGTGGAATCACAGCCTGAGGTGTGAGAGCACTTGGATCTTCCCTGCTGCCCCTGGAAGGGCCTCCAGCGTGGGCATCACTGTGGGGTGGAGATGGACCTGGGAGAAAGGGAAAGCTCCTCCTCAGACACCCAGGGTGACTGCCCAGAGCAAACACTGCATAATCCACTGTTCAAACAACAGAGGGGCAGCTCCTGCTGCCAAAGCACCCGGATCAGGTGTGCACTGAGCACCAGGAGCCAGGGCAGCAGAGCGTGAGCCCTGTCAATAAACTGTAAATCGCCAGGACTGGCAGCTCTGAACAGGCTGTCCTGGACATGTCGACTTGTGGGATGGCACCTGTGGCCAGGGAATGCCCAGGACACTGTTTGATACTGTTTGACAAGTTTGATACTGCCCCATCTTCTGGAAGGGATGTTTGCAGTAACAGCTGCAAGAGATACTGCATGGAAAAGGTCTGTTCTGGAGATGTCTGTGCATTAAATTATGTAAGAAATAATACCTATTCAATTCCAATATCCCTTCATTTTCCAAGTAACTAACTCTTTTATAGGAGCACACACTATGATTTCAGCCATTTTGGTTAATTTTCTGGTTTTCATCTTGATTTTGTAAAAAAAACCCTCAAGCTGGTCTCTGCCCAATGCCAGAAAGGAATTATCTGAAGTAATGCAAACAGAGTATTTTTGCAGGAATTTTTCATGAGAACAGCACCATATTCTTTGTAGAATGCTCTCTGTCAGGCCTCAAAATGAACAAGGCATTGAATTAATCAAAGAGATGTTCTTATAACCCTTTGTTGCTTGCAGGAGACGGGAGATATTATCCTTGATTGGGACGAGACTAGAGAGAGAATTTTTCAAAGCCCAGGAGTAAACAGGACCTTGTTCCTTGTCACACTGGATAAATGTTTCCTGGCTCTGAGTGCTTTGGACTGTGTGGATATCCTGGGCCAGGTTTTGCACGTGTCAGCAGTGAACTATCTCCAACCTGATGTCATTGGGAGCCTCCCAAACGTTCTGCTGGAGGATGCCTTCAGAAACCTGTAAGCCCTTTGTTTTTCAGACTCTGTCATATTTGCTGGTCTCAGTCTGTTTTCCACATACAGCTTTCTGCTTATGTGTCACTGTTTATAAAGTAATTTTTCCACGTGTTTGTTTTTTTTAAATAAAGAGTTAACTCATTAGTGAACTAACATGCCCTTGTATCACTTAGATCATCATTATTCAAGGACCTCTATGACAAAACCTCAGCAAATACTCAGAGAGCTCTGTATGGCTGGATGAAGCAGATTCTACAAAAATCCTATAACAGGAGTGGTATGTTATGTGCAAAGTATTTTCTCCTTGCTTATCATAAAAAGATCAGCAAAGGCCTATCCATTGTGTTGAATTGTTTCCCAAATTTAGCACAGGTCTGTTTAAGAGCAGCTGTCTGGAGAATACCTTTTCTCCAGAATACAGTAAATTTAATATGTTTGTTAGTCATGACAAATAGTTCTCCAAAGGTGCTTGTTCTTATAGAATAGAATCCTACAATTGTTAAGGTTGGAAAGGACCTCTAAGATCATTGAGTCCGGCCAATGGACTCTTCATCTCTTCTGCACAGAGCTGTACTCTTCCAATACTCTGATTTTTTCTCTCTGTACTTTTTCTAAGACTGAAATAGGATACAGTGGTCAGGTGCTCTGCCAAGGTGGATTGTTCACCTCTGAACACCTATTCAGACTGGAAAAATAGCTCTGGCTCAGGATACATTAGCCAGTGCACTGCTAAAAAACAAAAGAAATGCAGGATGTTGTGAAAGCACACGGCACTGACTCGGTCAGAAAAGGGGCTGGATCAAAACACAGTTATTAATTCTGATTGTGTGCATTTTACCCCATCTGTTTGCCTGGTTAATGTGCCTCGAGCAGCTGTGCCACAGCTGTGCCAGTGCAGGACAGGCTTCACGAGGGGGCTCTGCAGCAGCGCTGACCCGTCAGAGCCGCTGCCTGGCTTTCACTGAACATCCCAGCAGAGCTGTCCTGTGAGCATTTTAGACTTCTGGATGTGTGTGTTCTTCCTCTTTCCCTGAAAATCAAGGCCAAAACGCTCATTTGCTTCCGTGGAGCTAAATTTGTCCCCTGGGTCCTCAGCCGTTTCAAAATCTCAGGGTAATCCATTAAATCACAGGGAGGAAGTTCATGACACTGCTGGGTGGTGGTGTTACTGCCAGGGCACTGCTGGGGAAGCAAAGATACAGAACTTGCCTGGTGACACTCAGCAATCCTGGGAAAACTCCCCAGTGCCACCTTAGACTGTATGTGGAGCTTTGGTGAACCCTCGGGGTGTGGAAGATCACCCAGCTCCGGAGGGGCTGAGAATTAACGTGCCTTTCTTACCTCCTGGTTGCTGCTTCACCTGCCCAAAGCAGTGCAGGTGTGGGGAATCCACAGCACGGAGGGCAGGACAGCAGAAGAGTCTGATTTATTCACTTTCTATGTGGGTAGCACTGGGACCACCTGGGAAGGGGGTCGTTTTTTGGGGATCACACCTGCCATGGTCGGTACCTGTTCTGCCAAAGGCCACGGTCAGCATCCTTAAATTGTGCTTGTTTTACTTTAACTCTTCTGTCAGGTCTTTCAACCCTTGTAATATCCCTGGTAATGGGAAGTAATATCACTTTAAAAACCAGGGGCCTGACAGGTCTGCTGGGAGCATCATCTTGTCTCAGTTAAGGAGCTTAGATCTGTGTTTTCAAAAAAAAGCATTAAACGGGGTCCTTCAGCTTCTGATAGATAAAGGGTGATGTTTTTTCAGATACTGAAAACTCTTCAAAGTGCCCTGATGATTTTATTCTAACAGAGTCGTGGATATCAGCACTGCCAAGGAATTTGTTCAGAGCTATCACACGCTGAGCCATCCAAATTATGATACCTTGGAGAAAACAGTCTGTGGCTCAGAGGCCATAAATACTTTTTTTTTCTCAGGGATATTTGGATCTTGACTTCATTTTCAATCCTTGGGAGAATGTTACTAAATGAATGCCATTTTTTTAAACTGTTATGCACTGTTCTGTATTTTTTGCCAACCTATTTCCATAGAGGTATTTGAACCATTTTTCATTTTCTCTGTTATTGCTATTGCATATTGCTGAAATAAGTGGCATCATCAATAATATTATATGATATATATAAAGTGTTACAAAGTATTGTGCCTTCCTGATGTTCTTAAATAATATAATTGATTAGGGAAACTGAATTTAAAAAATACTGCTCCATATTTAAAATTACTGCTTAAATTTTTCCTGTCCCACACTTTATCCATTTTCTATTTCAACAACATAAAACATTAATGTTTTCATACAAGAAAATTTGAGACATTTGAAATACTATTTCATTTTCATCAAAAAATATATGGGCTCATAAAAATGTGGTGCTAAAATGTAGCCAATGGAGGGAACCTGACCCTCTCTGCTTTTAGGACTTTTCTGATTTGCAGTTATTTTTTTGATTGTTTACCAGTAACAATACATTGGGTACAAGATCTTTGAAAAGCAATAACTTTCTTGACATTGTAGTGAGCATTTGTTTGTACAAAACAGACTTCAATGAATCAACTTCTTGGGTCAGTGCAGAAAGCTTATGGATTTTGGGAAGATACATGGTCCACCTCCCATTAGAAGAAATTCTGAAAATTAGTCTCAATGAAGTAAGTAACAAAGTGTGGTTGGATGTGTCTTTACAAAATGATGTCAACTACAAACAATATGAACACAAATGCAAACTAAAACATGAAAAATCTTTATGTATTTTAATTAAAGGGAAAATATAAATGAATTATTTGCAAATATTCTTTTATATCTGGAATTTTAAAGTGCCTATAGTTAACATAGAATTATTTATCTATATCAGTATTCTGTGGCCTCTGCTGAAAGGGCCCAGTGATAGAAGCCCTGAAATTATTTGGCAGTTTGGCAGAGAATCGCTGGAATAGCTCACTCAGCTTTGTCTTCAAAAACACCATGTCCTCCAAATTCTTCCTTTCTCTACAACACGAGTGGGGTCAATTAATTTAGTGTGTCAAGCATAGATGTTGTTGGATGCAATTGTTTCCCAATGCTGCTGCGTGGTTCTGTTTGTGCTGCTCAGATCAGACTGTTCATCAGCTACGACAACGCGACAAAGCAGCTGGACACGGTGTATGACATCACACCAGAGCTTGCACAGGCTTTCCTGGAGAGGATAAACTCGTCAGGATTTGATATGAGGAACACTTCAACTATCTACAGGCAAGACTGCTTTTCTTCTTTTTTTATGGATGGAACAAATAAGTAAGGAGAAAAGAGAGAAGCAATAAGCAGTATGGCATAGCTTTTCCCTTCCAGCAGGAAAACCTAGGCTGGAATCCAGCCCTGTTTAGCAACAGTGAAGAATTGCTACTTTATGATTTTTTGGAGGTTTGCCTAATTAGCTAATGCTTTGTGTCCTGCTGCACAGTGAGGAGGTGCCTGTAGTATCAGTAGGAAGACACAGCAGTGTCTTTGGGACCCGTCATGTCATACAGGGCAGCAGTAAAATAAACTGGGACAGAGGGACATGGGTTGTCTTGGCTGTTTGGATCACAGAAAGTGTTGTTGTTCTGTGGAAATCGTGTTCCAGTTAGGATTGAAGGAGGAAATCTTAGCCCATGCCCGCCAGGACTGTGGGTGGTTTTTAACTGAGGTGGTTGCCACCAGAGAGGTCACCAAGTGAGGAGCTGTGAAGCCTGCCCTGCTGTCCTCTTTGTCCTGCAGGGCAGACATGAGCCGTGCCCAAATGTGTGTGACTGTTGGGTGTGTAAGCAGGAAACTGCATTTTCAGGCCTGTCAAACCAGCACTGAACTGAGTTTAATGAAAAACCAAAACAATCTGCTCTTACAAGCACACCGTGAGTGTGAGCTGCTGCGAGGGAGCGCCGCGCTCCACATCCACATTCACTCTGGCCTATCAGTGCAGGTGTTTAGTCCCATACACCACTGTCTGAAGTTATTTGCAGCCTCCTTGGGGGATACCTTGGAGCTTTAAACTAATGGAGAACATGCTTTATGGCTTCAGAGCTCCTGTGTCTGTGCAGTGCAGCTCTGGCTCCCTGCAGCGTCGCTCACTGCCGGAGGTGGGAGCGACAGGAGAGCTCTGCCCACGCTCTCCATTTCGGTGTCAGAAATCTTAGGAATGATTTTGTCACTCACAAGAGCTGCCACATTCTCACAGATGAGGGAAATGTCATGCTCCATAATCCTTAATGTATTCCGTTTTTACAACACACTTAGTTTATATTACTCATTTTAACCGTACTGATGATTTAAATGCGCTTTTACTTTTAAGAAGTAGTGTTATTCATTGCTGCTAATCCCAAAGGAGATGAAGAGCTCTTGGTGGGTGTGCAGTAATGCATTGGAAGGTAATTATTTGTTATAAAAATGCTCTTAGAGATGTTTCTTTGATTTGTATGTTGGTTTGATGATGTCCCATGAATTCAGATGGGATGTGGAAGCAGTATATTGTTATATCTCTAGCAGATTGTTGTTGAGGGACTAGAGGAAATAAAAGCCTTTGTGTGCTGCAGAATTCCACTGAGTTTGTGATGGTGGTGCAGCAATGTCCACTGTTGGTTTGGATGTTATGGCCCAGACTCTGCCTATGCCTCTTTGAATGGCTAAAAACCAGGGACTGCAGCAGGAAAGCCGGGATTCTGCCACATCTTTGGGGTTCTTGTTCTGTGCAAATTATGAAAGCAAAGACTAAGATTTTACAGGGGCAGGGAATTGATTCAAGTTCATCATCATCACTGTAAAGTTCAAAGTCCAGCAAGAGTGATCTCCAATTGCAAGCTCTATCTTTGCAGGGCTGCAGGCAGTGGCACTAAATAAGCCCCAGGCCTAAGTCAAAAGGCCACCTCCAACAGGCTCTTCCCTCTGGTGGTGTGGCTGCTTCTCTCCACCAGCTGTGGCTGTGATTGTACCTTACAGAGGTTAATGGAAGTGTTGACTTAAATATTACAGAATGGGTTCTGTGAGGGAGCATGAGCTCCACGTCTGGTTCCCAGCATGGTCTTGCAGGCAGCTGTGCTGGCACTACTGAGGCAGGGAATCCTGGCATGCCTTCTCCTGACTGCTGTTGAGCTGTTCAGGTCTCCATCCATCAGCCAGTCGTGTTTGATGAGAAGAACAGCAGGCTTTGTTTAAACCTGAAACGATGAGGAGGCCATGTAATGCTCTAGCTGGGCTCTGAGACATGAATGGGTTATGCTGCCTGGGGAATCCAGGTGGGATTTAGAACTCAAAACATCCAGTCAATCCAGATAAGAACTCAGCTGCCACTTCCAGAGATTTTTTAATAGCCCTCCATCCTTTTCAAGATTATGCTGCCAAGGGGAGTGGAGTTGTTAACTAGGAGAATCCAGCCATGCACAAATGGAACCAGGAGAGTTAAGTTTTCAGCAGCACAAGCAATCCAGGAAGAGTTCAGCTGAATGCAGAGGCCAGTGCATGTGTTTTACCCCCCAGTCTCAGGCTGGGTGAGTTTTAAAGATTGTGGTTGAAGGCACAAGTGACAGACAGAAATGACTCCAGTTCTGAGCACGAGTAGGGTGCAACATTCCGTGTTTCCTAAGGGTCTGACACCTCTTGTGTCAGAAGTCAGCTAATGTGTCTCTTCTCCATAGGCTGGGTTTATTGGTTTGCTTTTATGATGACCTGGAGCAGGTGGATGCAGCTGTGGCCCGGGCTTTACTTCATCAAATGATGAAATGCAATCAACTGAGAGGTTTCCAGGCTGAGGTTCACAAGGTGGGTGTGGTATTTATTCTTCTTGCCCAACCTAATTCTGAAAACAGAGGAGGGACTTTCTTCTTGATAAGAGAAGAAAAGAGTGAAAAATCACTGTGATCTAAGAAATAGGGGAAAGTTCTCGAGAATGCAAAGAATAGAAGTCCATTTTGGGTGCTCATTCTTTTGTCATTCTGTTCCCTGCTGTTCCATGTCCCTTTCACAACTGTGGTTCTATTTTTGAAATTTTATGAAGTGTGTGCTCACGGAATATTTGCCAATGCCTATTCCAGAGACTCCAGTTAGTGTTTTGGGTGATAGTGGAAATTGGTTCCTGGCAGGTTTTTATTTCCCATCTGCTCTTTTTGTTTGCTTTAGCTCAAATCCCAACTGCTGAACATTGCCATGCAAAACCAGACACTGAATGATACCCTCGGGTCTCTGTCAGATGCTGTGGTCGGACTAACTTCGAGTCAGCTGGAATCTCTGTCACCTGAAGCAGTGCACAATGCTATTGCAACACTAAACCAAGTCTCTGGCTGGGCAAAGAGCCAAGTTATGATTTTATCCAGTAAATACCTCTCTTATGAAAAGGTACCTTGTGATAACAGCTTTGCTGCCTCCTGTTTTTAAAAGTGAAATGGCTTTTTCTCAACAATAACCATAGATTTAGAAAAGTTAGTGCTCTGAAAAATGTGTTCAAGTCAAATAAAAACATCCAAGACTGAACCTCCCAAAGTAATTCTCTAGTGTAACAGAGAGAAAGAATGTTTGTAGTCTGGCAGTTGTGTGTATTATTTTGTGTCTGTCACTGCCCTGAGCAGAATTTGCACCATCAGAGGTCCCAAACTGTATATTCAAATATAAAGTAATGGGAGGAATCAGGGTCCTGCTGAAATTTCAGAAAAAGGAACTTCTGAGAAACTTCACACATTTGCTCTCTGGACAGACACAGAAAGTGCATCCCCAGGCAAGAAATGTATTAAGTGTTCAACAGTAATAGTTTTGATTTATTTACTGACTTTTGCTTTTAAACATATGCGCTGTTCTCCAGCCAGAAAACTCCCTGTGTGTGCTGTTCTCTCTGCAGGTGTTATCATTCCATAACCTCAGTCAGATGGGTGCTTTGGTGACGGGCATCAGCACCCAGTCCCTGCACAGCATGGACCCAGGGGAGCTCTCCCAGCTCATTCGAGGCACCACATCCCAGCACTTGGCTGATTTGTCTCCTGCCCAGCAACAAGGGATCCTCAGGAAGGTGATTGTGAACTCCAGCGTGTAGCAGGTTCTCTCTGCACAGCAGCACAGCCACCAGCCATGCAGAGTGTGATTTAACATGTTGCCATTGGGGGTGTGCTTTAGCTCAAAGGTTAACGTTTCCAGAGGTTTTTTCTGAACACCACGTGTATTTGCAAGGCTCTCTCTCGCTTATTTCCGTTGCATTTTTAATACTGTCATGTTTTTCCTTTATCCTCTTAAGAGAAATATTACACAGAGTAGAAAGGAGGGCAAATCCTGTAAATCTAAGCATCAGTTCTGCAATGCCATGTATCTCTGTGTTCCTCTTTTTAGATAGATGCATCTGGAGACTTTTCTTCCTCAGTCAAAGAGATACAAGGAGCTTTCTTTAAGGAAGTATCTCTCTCTGGTTTATGGAAGCAGACTGGATATAACTCTTCAATGATGAAAGAAAAAGAACTAAGAAGAAGCCAGGTAAAAATTCTTATGCAGTTCCTGTTCCCCTGCAATTTAGTATGATGGAAGAACTGGAAAAGGAACATAGGTGAAAGAAAGGAACTGCCTCAAAGATGTCCTGACACAAACAACCAGAGGGATTTCAGAGCCTGGGCAGCATTATGAGACACAGCTATGGAAAGGGAAGCATTAATATGCTGAGTTTAAAGTCCCCAGGAATTTGCCATGTAAATTTTCTCTTTCCAGTACTGTATAATAGACATTTGCATATACAATCAGCTCTTTGACTCTGTCCAGAGAGACGAAAGTTTGGATCAGATGATCTCCAGAAGTCCCCTCAAACCTAAGTTATTCAGTGGTTGTGGGCCATGGACGGGTTTAACATCATCCCAGTCAGCCACATCTTGTCTTGTGAGGAAGAAATCCAGCTCTGGATGCCAAACCTCTTGTGGTTGGCCAGGCTGGATCACAGAAGTGCCTGTGGAGCACAGAAGAGAGCTAAGAGTACATAAACCTTGCAGTAGCCCTTGTGTCTTACAACTGGATTAACTAAACTGAGCTTTAAGTATGGTGGGTTTTCTTTCAGGCTTTGTATCTGTACGAATTCCTGTCCAAGCAAAGCCATCCTGTTGACCTGCTGAGGTATGGATTTATAGTCTCCTTTGAAATGGGGTTTAAGGCTAGTTTTGTCATGAGAGCAGCTTCAAGGTAAACCATCACGTGGTTATTTTGTGCTAGCTTAAGTTTAGTCACTCCTGGATACCTCGGGATAATTCACCTTCCTCATTAGGAAGGGTCTCCAAACCCAAAATTGGGATCAAAGCACTGCAGAGGTTTGGCTATTTTAAGGCTATTTTAGTTGATATTTTTCGGTTTGTTTGCAGTTTTACTTTCAATTTAGCCTTTCAGTTGCGAGACACAGGAAAGAGAGGTGGCCAAGGAACTGTATCTTAGGGCAGGGTTGTGGGGAGCAAGGACTGGATCCTGCTTAAATATTCAAAAGATTGAAATTTGCTTTTCCTATCAGCACAGGACAGCTTGTGAAAGGAGTAACTTGTCAACTCATTGAAAGTATGGGCACAGACATATTTTTAAACAATTTTAAATTCTTTGAAATGAATCTTCATCTGCTTTCTCCATATCAGGTAAACCCAAAAAGACTTTGTCTATATAAACAAACTACCCAATATCCAAACTAGGTAAATTAAAATTTAGTCCATTCAATTTTCTTTTCTTTTTTTTTTTTCTAATCTTGTCTATGTCAACTTGTCTGTTAGCATATTTTATGTAAATCTTTTATGTGTGAATTTTTCTGTTATCATACTTCATTTTGACAATTTCATTTGCCACTTACAAATCGCAAGAAAATTCCTACAGCCCTTCTGACTTGTTAATTCATGAGTAATCTGTTTGGAAATATATAGAAGTTTTGAAAGCACACAAATGCTCTCTTGCACCCAAATATAGGATGCCTCATTTCTGATGTCTACAAAAAGAAAACTCTAAAAAGAGCCAAAGAAAAATGCTCTCTGAAGATAATATGCACAGTTTTATGTATGCTGATTTACATGCTGCAATAAACAAGCCATGTTTTTATTCTTCCTCAAAATTGCCAGATGTTTAAGTTCCTAAATTTTTGTTGCTTTTAGGTTAATTGTTTGGCTTGGAAGTTTTGGAAAGTCTCCAATGCATCTATTCCTCCCTTCCTCTTCCTGGTGCTGCCGTGAGTTACATCTTACTGCATCTTTAAGTTCTGAGCACTTTTTTTAAATAATCTCTTCAGTCCTTAGAAAACTGATGATTCAAATAAATGGTAATTTATCAGAAATGGTCACTGACTGTAGGCAAAGTCTCTGTCAAGTGAAAGTTGGTAATGTTTGGTGTCTTTTAGTGCAGCCTATTTTTGTCACAATTCTGGATTTCCCCCCCCAGGTTGTGAGACTCTTTTTCCTTGTTTATTTAGGGTTTCTTCGAGAGTGGATGTGTAAGTCAAAACCACTGGGTACTGCTGAAGCATATTGCTCTGTTTGGTTAAGAACATTTCAGTGTGTTTTAAGACACTTTTCTAAGTTAGTAAAACTTTTCAGTGCCAGCTTTTTTCCTCAGGGAAAACAAATGCACAAAAAGGGCGTTAAAGTAAGGTGAGGATTAACTGCAACTTTCCTGGCCAGTCTGGTTTATGATTTTTCAAGTCCAGCCTTGTCTCTAAACATTTGTGTCATCACATATTTTATGGGTCTGGTTATGGGTGTATGAAGGTCAGGTTTGCATTCTGAGGCCATTTGAATTCTTTCTGCAGTCCTGAGTACCTGGAGTTCGTTTCAGGCCCTTTGTGTGTCCCTTTCATTGAGAGTCTGGGGAAGATTGAAATGGACCTTTTGAATCCAGGCGGTCACAAAAGGAATGCTGTCCTGCAAAAAGTACAGGAGTGCCTGGTGGGTATGGCTGGGAGGGGTCAGCAGTGAGGATGGAGAGAGTCACCTTCTACACTGGTCACCTTGTCCATCTGTATTCTTTTGAGGGTTTTCTCATGTGCCGTTTCGATGTTATCGTTCACTGCCTGAGGAAACCTTCTCACAGCTTCCTTAACAATTTTCCCTGACTCCATCCACGTTACAAAGTGTTCTCATGAAAATGTTGTTGCTGGCCACAGATAACTGGCCAGGACAGCCTGGAGCTGACCGGTTTGCACCTGGAGCTGCTCCCCTGGCTCCAAGCAGTGCCAGCCCTGCAGAGCTGTGGGAGGCGCAGGAGGCTCCGTGGGAGAGGTGGTGCTACCAGGAGGATTTGGGACTTCTGCTGTCAGAGGGCTGCAGCACTCACCAGCTTTTAAGGGAAACTTATTCTTTGATGTAGCTGTGAGTATTGCTGTCCCTACACATACTACCAGCTGTATAATCCCTGGTGTTTTGGCAGCTGCTTGAGAAACCCCTCAGAGCTCACCCTTCTGACAGCAAGAGCTTGGGGCCCCTTTGCTGCGAGGGGCCAGGTGAGGGCTGTGCTGCCAGGCAGGGCTGCACCACCTCTGCAGGTCTTGGGGGGGTCACATTCTCTGTGTGTGCTTCAGTATGGAATAAAGAATAATGAAAGCCCTGAGAAGTGCTTATTAAATATCACCAACTGCGGTGCTAAAAGCAAAAAACATAAGGCAGTCTAAGCAGAAATTGTAGATTAAGTTGCCAGTGCAAACTGTCGTGTCTTTGTTCCTTAAAGGGTCACAGAGCTTAAATGAGTTGTGATGCAGCTGAGTGATGCAGGGCAAGAGCCAAGGTTAGCTCTGCCAACAGGGTAAATGCTTCTCGTTTCAGAACGGCTCCGTGGCTGATGAATATGATGTTGACCTACTTGGGAATCTAATCTGCCATTTACCTCCAGCCTTTCTACAAGGCAGAGTGTCCCTGAAGGCAATGGCAGCAGCCCTCCATCAATTCAAATTCTGCCAACAGCTCAGCCCCGAGCAGAAGACTGAAATTAAATACAAACTCCTTGAGTTATATGGGTAAGGTATTAAATACACCACCTTGCTCTTGCTGATGGTCAGGCCATGCAAGTAACCAAGCATTTGCTTTGCCCAGATGAACTGCAGTGAAAGCAGCACAAAGCAGCTTCTGTCACTGGCCCAGCTTGGGGGCTTGTCCACTAGGATGACATTTCTGTTCTTGTGTGGAAGGTGATAGGTGTGGAACCAAATACAACCCCAGGGACACCCTGCATGACTCAAGTCCCAGAGGAAAAGGAGACAAAGTGCAGCATTTGAGGAGGGGCAGGTGAACAGAATCACTGGCCTGGCAAGAGAAAGGTGTTACAGGCAAAGAATGGCCCAGGAACGCAAAGAATGGGAAGATGGAAGTGGGGTACTCAGTCTGAGAAGACAAGTGAAGAAGACTGCAAGCACCTGTGGCAACAGGAAAGAGCTAGAGAAGAAGCAGAGGGATATAAATTCAACCATCTGAAGCAAAAAACTGGGCAGCATGTTGGGTGTCAGCAAAGGCTCTGATCAGGAGGGTGATTGGAACCACACTGTGTAGCAGTCATGCAAAGGACAAAACCATCCTCTGTCTGGCAAGAATGCTCTGCTTCTCTCTGGCATTGCCTCTTAGAAGTACCTTGCATTTGAAAAGGGAGACAATGCATTGTTTCTAACCACCCCTGCAGACCCAAAGGCTGTCACTTGATCCACCTAATCATGTTAGATGCTCATTCAGCTCCTTCCTAAGTCAGCGTTTTCCTGGTGATGGAATAGAAATGTCTTCCACCAGGTCCCATCCCTGCACTGATCTTGATACAGATCAATTTTATTGAATCATGGCACACTGTGCTAAATGAGATCTTACTTTATTTTGTATTGGGTTTTTTTGAAAATATTTGTCCAGTCAAACATCCTCCTGGTGGAGCAACAAAGCAAATAAAGTTTTCTGTGAGAACATGAACTAGCAACAGATTTGTTACTGTGTTCTCCTACAGGCTCTTCCAGGCTGAAAATTACTTATCCAAGTGCTTTATTAAGTCACCAACCAAGTGGGTTGAGTAACATTTGTCAGATCTGTGTGATGTTTCTAATTCTCTTTTGATACCATTTTGCACATTACTGCTGCTGCAGTATGAACCCGACAGAAAATGGTGAATTTTCTTCCAAAAAAAAAGAATTATTTCTCCTTGCTTGAACACTGCAATGCAAAAAATACTCTGGCTGTTGAGGGAGAGCTCCATCACTGCCATATTTGAAGGCTTTCTCCGAGTGTATTGAGAGTTCCACTAATGCCCTTTACATCACAGGGAGAAGAGAAAATGCAGTCTGATGATAATAACAATGAATCATCACACTGGCATAGAAGTGCCTGTGTTTCCTATATGATAAAGTATAAAAAAGAACTCTGAAGCTCTAGTATCATTTTGATTGTTAGCATTCTTCATTAATATAATTTTTCAAAATATTTCTTCAGCTCCTCCAACAACTGGACAGCAGCAACAACATTGGATGTTGGACCATTCATAGCTCTGCTGTCAAAGGAGGAATTAGATGTCCTTGCTGGAAAGGTATGCTTTTATTCTAACTTTTGAATTCATAAAAGATGTTAAAATTTGAATTTGTGAATGTCACAGTGCAATCCAGATTATATAACCTGAATGCTAAACTGGGTAAATAATTCTCCTGGCAAGGAACCCTTTGTTAATGTTCCACGTGTTCTTGACTCCATCAAAGTGTCTGAGATTTCTTCTTGAAGGTAATGTCAGTATAAAGGATTATTTGCACGTGAACTGTGATAATTGTCCGTTGTCACATAGAAAAAATGGGTCATCTATAGTGACACAGACTCATTTTTAGTACTTAACACCTTGCAGTTTTATTTCTTCCATTCCCTTGCCTTCCACCCATAAAAGTTATGTTTCTTATCCTGTTATTAATGGGATCATACGGATCAAATTAGCATTTACTCACCCGACCCTTTGCCCAGCACAGCACAGCACTTGAATGATAACTGATGGACTCAGCACTGCACTTTGGAGTCTCTTTGCCCTCTTTACTTCCTACAAGCTTACAGTTTTTATGTATAGGAGTAAACTATGCTGGAATGGGACACTCATTCTTCAGCAGAAATATGTGAGCACAGTCAGCAACTTTTCCCCCAGAGGTAAAACTTATAATTGACCAAACAGAACGGGACTCTTCAAAGGCAAGGAAGGTGTCTAGCAGGGTGGAGGAGAGAGGTCAAAAAAAGCCTAAGGAAGGCAAACAGGTCAAAGTTATTTCTCATCATTTAATTGGGTCCCTCTCCTCAATTCTTATCCTTGTCTGGCAGATTTAAGACAAAGAAAATAAAGCCCACACAGAATAGTGAAACTCATTGTTCCAGGAGGGAACTGCCTCCAGTCAGGCAGTGCTCAGGTGTTGCAGAATCTGAGAGAACGTACAGGAGAGAGAATCACTCAGAATTTGCTTTGTTTCTAATTTTCTCCCTCAAATGTATGCTGTTGACCTTTCAGTAGCAGCCAATTTACTCTCTTCTGAAACATCTGCACAATAGGAAGGAGGCTGAGCTGTTACTAACCCCTGATTTGCTAAGGTCTGCACAAGTCTTTCTCTGCAAATTGGTTTGTTTTAAAAGAAATAAGAAGACTTATTAGACTTATTTCTTCTTCTTTTTTTTTTTTTTTTTTTCCCTTTTGAAGTTTCCGGACATCATTTTACAAATAGCAAAGACAGTTGGACCAGTTTCTTCAGCTGAAGAGCTTTTATCAGCTGTATTTGAGTCTGTCTCCAGTGCCACTGCCAGCACCCCCTCATCTCTCTCCACACCTGGTCAGTAAGTGCCTGGTATCTCTGCAGTGCCTCATTCACTGTGGGGCCATTTGGGGCTGTGCTGGGGCAACTCAAACAGACTTTGTTTCACTTTGTCACCAAATGCTTTCTGAGAAGCTGAATGATGAAAAGGAAAGCGTTGAGTAACTTAAAGAGGGTCAGACTTTTGGCAAAAGCAGTGAGAGTCTTCATTCTGTTGCCCATAGTTGTAGGATGCATTGACTAATTGCTGAAACAACTTCATTACAGGATTGAGTGATTAAGCATCTCCTGGAATGATTCTGAGTGCACAAAGCAAAAAGAGGAATTATTTGAATTAGTTTTGTTTATTTTTACTTTTTTTTTTTTTTTGCTTATTTTTACTTTCCTTTGTAATCTAAGTGAAAATCCTCAAACTAAAAACCTGTGGAGGTGACAAGTTACCCTTGTGCCAAAAGATTGCACGTAGTTAATCCTCTGCCAGACATGAGCATATGGTGACTCATCTGTTCCTAAATCTGACAGTGGTGGCACTGTGTTTTTTCTGTCCAAATGGACAAAGTTTGTTATCATCTAAAAGGTATTTTAATTAGCAACCACACTAATCTGTTAGAATCTCTGGTGACAAATGGATCATTTTCTTTGGATAAGGCACATACTCTGACTGTATTCCTTTATTACAATAACTGTATTCTTTCTCTTACCTGAAATAATGGGGAGGTAATATTAATAACAGTAGCAATTACCAGTGACAGAGTTCTTACAGCCATGTCTACATCAAGATAAAAACAAAGGTGGTGCTTGAGGCAAGATGGAACCTGCAAGGCAAAACTTAGGAACCGTGTGCCCAACGTGCTACCAGAGAGCAGTGGCAGTGCTGGAGAAAGAATTCAAATTCCTCACCACATGCACTGAGGTGTTATAATAATGTTTTCCATCAAACTAAATTTATATCAAAAGGAAGACTGAAGCAGCATCAGATCCAGGAAGCAAAGTCAGAAGTCGAATTAGTGTTTCCCTCTGTAGTCACACCGATGTATCTGGTGTGTTACAAATTCTAAAATCAACGTTTTTCTGGAGGACACAAAGTCTTAGGTTTTCATGACCTGGGGAAGGGAGCTGAGCTGTGCCTGGACAGGCAGTATTTACATGAGAAAAGCTGACCTTTTGCAGCGGGGGAAAGGGGAACAATGCTGCTGCACAGGAGGGAGGTGTAAAGGGAGAGCAGAACATCAGCTGGTACAGTGAGAGCCCAACTGCATTTTCGTTTGCTCAACAGATTCAGCCTTTTCAGTGTTCTACCCACTACTGCAGCTTCCTTTGATGCAAATAAATCCCTCCTCTGCCTCCTTTCAAAGTACAAATCTACTTTGTACATCCTCGCTTTAATTTGTTTATCTGGGGGGGCTTAGCTCAGGCTCAGCATCTGGGAAATTCATGCTTTTTACTGGTAATGGCCGCATCTGAAGACATGTAGGGATTATTTGGTTTAGGTAATTATTTAATAAGGTTTTCCTCAGTGAGTGACAGGAGAGAGAGCAGTAAACAACCACATTAGGATTCTAATTTCTGCTTTCCATCAACGTTAGAGGTAGATTATACCAACAAAGACCAGGATTTGCTAAAACACACAATGGAAACTGCCTGGTTTGATCGTGGATAGGGCCAGAACCTGCCCATAAAGAAGATTTCTAAAGGCAGTTTGTCTGTCCAAACAGTTCTGTGGTGAGTGAACAGCCCTCTCTCCAGATCCTGACATTTTAACAACAGGCTTGACATAAAGAACAAGCAACTGTGCTGCTCTGACACATCCAGCTCCTGTCTGCACCTTGTTTAAATGTCAGGCCAGTCTCACAAGACATACATCTTTGTCAGGGCATTTCAGAGTGAAAGCACCTCTCCTGTCTGTCACTTTGCTGATGGGTTCACTGCTGGAACGTGGAGTTTATTCAGCTGCAGCAGCTTTTGGTGGATTTTTGGAGGCTTCCACGAGGGTCATCCCAAGGATTTGCATTTCACTCTTAGCGAAGCAAGGCCCCAGCAAACGGTGGTTCAGCCTCAGAACGAGCCTGGGGTTTGATGCCTTTAAGGAATTAGGCTTGAAAGGAACTTGCAATATACTGGTTATTCTCATTGCACACGTCCAGAATTCTGTTTTATTGTGGCATCCTGCACTGTAACTGTTCTGAAATGTATGCCTGCTGTTATTTTCTTGTCAAGCCTTTGGAGTATAAAGAATATAATCAATTTCTTTCAAGTTAGGCAAATTCTAGTTCTGTATCCAGGGCATTGACAATGTAAATATTTTTTAATTACAAAACAATTTATCAATATCACATCAGCTGCAGTTAATTCATAGTCTCTTGCTCTCTTATATATCTATATTGGTTCGATTGATTTTTTTCAGTCTCCTTGAAGAAAAATCTTTCTAGGTGACTTTTTTTTTTCCAGATTGCCTGGGAACCAGAGTTCCTTCTTCAGATGAAATAATTAAATTAGCAGAAGCAAATATCTTTTGGTCAGATCAGGAACTGAAATGCATGGACCAAGGGACTTTTGACAAAAATGTGGAACTTCTTGGGACCGTCTCAGGTTTTAACAACTCCCAGCTTACTGCCTTGAAGGAAAAAGCCAAGCAGGTAACTATCCTGTCTGTGAAGGGAAATTAAATCTGTAATTTGATTTGCTGTTATTGAACTATGCAGTTCTAAAATAACTGTGCTATGTCAATGTCACTGCTGCTGCAAGAATGTCTATGGTTTATTGGAAAAATAATATGAGATGGTGATAGAAGACTATTGCCCTTGCTTCAGAGTCAACAGGCAAGTAGTTCTGAGCTATTGGCAGCTGGAAAAGTTAAATGTTTTTACTTTTGAATTAGTTTTCTGTATGTTCCTCACTATTGTTTCATAAATGAAAAATCAGCAAGCAGCACTAGGGGCTGTTGATTGCCCTGCTGAGAGTTCAGCTTGGCATGTTAAAGTGTCTACATCGGTGTTAAATATAGCTTACAGTGGAGCAAAACCAAACCGACTGAAAGAGCCTGCTGGTGGCTGAATAAAGCTCCTTCTCCCACCTTCTTGTCACAGGCAGGGACAGCCAGACCCATCAGTGGGTAATTTTAGGGAGGAAAAAGAACCCCCCTGCATTTAGGCTGTTCTTTCCTAGGGGTGCACTTGGGACAGGGCGGTGCTGGGGGCAGGTCAGCAGTGGCTGTGTCTGGGGCAGAGCTCCAGCACCGGGTCTGGGCTCTGAGCAGCCCTTCCTGGGCCTGCTGAGGGCTGGGGGACGAGTCAGAGCTCACTCCATCCCTGTTGTTGATGTTGCACTTGTCCCTGGGGGTGACCTCCTCGTGCTGCTTTGTGGTTGCCTGCCCTGCCAGGGAACAGGCAACGTCCCAAAGGTACTTTTGGTTCAGCGAGGGAAAGCCTCAGGGTGCAGTAAGACAAGTTGTTTTGCTTGCAGAAGACCCAGAGGTGCAGAGGTTACCATCCCTAGCCCGTCTTCAGCTTCCTGTCACCAGCACCTGCTGGAGGTTATCTGCTCTCTGCTTCCATCCCTGCATGGCCACTCTGTAATCCCCTTCTGTCAAAATGATCCAACATTTTACAAGTCCTTTTTAGGTTCCATCAGATCATTCTGACAGAATGAGGTTGGGAACCATCTGCAAGTGCAGTTGGCTGCAAGTAGTACAAGTGCAGAGGCTTGGAGATCTTGAGGGCTGTGACCTCTGGAGGAAAGCAGGAGCAGGGGACAACGTGGGCCTGGGCAGCATCTCCTTAAACCAGCAGCTGAACATGGACTTTGGGTAGGTAAGGCCAACAAGGCCATTTTTAGCAGTGAAGCTCAGCTTTTAAAGCACCAGAACTGCAGGTGCTTGAAGAGGAGTGGCACTGACCAGACTCCCAAAGCAGGTGGTGACTCTGCAGTTGTGTCTCTGCTGCCTTGTTGCAGAAGGACAACAGGCATCAAATGCATCTTTCTCAGAAAGCTTCCCTCTGTCAGCACAGACACGTGTGTGTAGAAAAAGGGGAAAAAACGTAATCCTAGAAGAAAATAAAAACAGTGTTCCACTGAGATAGTGAGAACTAAAACATCTTACAGCACTGCAACATATTGGTGTACTTACAGAGTGGTATCTGTTGTAGGCAAGTTGCCAGCAAGGTTAATACCCTCACATTCTGGCTCTACTCAGTCCAAAGGCACACAGATCTGTAGGGCACTTGATGGTGTGATATTCTGTGTGTGAGTGGTTGTAAGATTGCTGCTAGGCTAAGGCAGACTTCCTATATATTAATTTGCAAAATGCAACCTGGTGTTACACTGAGCATGAAACATCAGAAATCAGACAGTACAGGCAAAGCTCTTTGAAATTATGTGCAGAAGATGCTGTTATGTTATTAACTAAAGGGCATCTTTGATTAAAGGTTTCATTAAGCCTGCTTTAATTTCTTCTAAATTGATTGATTTCCCCTAAAAGAAAATGCACAGTACTCATTGTTCCAAACTAATTCAAGAAGTCTAGATATCAGATTGTGTCTTAATGAAAGTAAGAAGCTTAGCTCACTCGTAAGTGGAAGGTCTCCCAGCTCTGCAGCAGTGACAGATGTATGGATCTGTGGTCCCCAGGTGAATGAGGACAAAGGAGTGTTTCAGTTCCATGTGTTGTGTTATTTATATCGATATGCCTGAGATTTTATCCAGCACTGTCAGACAACACTATTTATGAAGCACTTCAAACTCTGCAGTTGATGACCTAGATCAGGGAATAGACGCGGGACATTTTTTCCTGCATGTGTTTCTTGTATCTCTTCAGCTAGAGAATTAAGAGCTTTAAAACTGGGCTAAGGCTTTTTACTAGCTATTTTCTTTGGAAAAAATTGACATTTCCCAGGCTTAGATCCTTTGTGTGTTTCTTTATGACGTTGTAAAACTGACACAAAAGGTCTGTGGAAGCTCAGCCGGGAGGTTGCAGGTCCAGCAACGCGTCTCTTAAACAGATCCTTAACCTGAGGGTCACGCTTGGGAAAAGCACCTCGGGAGCCCTGATAGGCACCTTGGTGTGAACAGCAGAGAGCCTGCCACTCTGTGTAAGGAGTATTTCATTCCAGAGATCCGGATTCCAGAGCCCTGCTTCCATAGCTGATGGAGGTTGTGCAGGTTCATAAGTATCTGGAGGTGCAAGCACTCTTCAGGAGGAAACTGCAGATACTCCTCAGAGAGTCCTTTCTGACTTAAGTTGTAGCTATCCTGAAAATGTAGTAAATATTTCCACGAATCAGACAGCACAAAGGACCAGCTTAGCCCAGCACTAGGTTTTTAGTTTTAATTTTCTAAGTGAATTTAGAACAACAGTCTTGTACTAGAAAACTGTCACGTGTTGATTGACATAGAGGAGAGTTGCTGAAGTACGTGAGACCTTTAAAGTGAGGGGTTTTTTTTCTTTTTTTAAATTATGCCTGTCTTGTTCGAGTCACTTCCTCCAGCCAGAACCCAGTGTCTTTTTCTGTAAAGGCAATTGGCCACATCCGGAGAGACACTGACCACGGACTACCATCCTCTGTCACTGCCAACTAAATGAAGCTGACAGTTCTGGCCTCTGAAAGTTCAGTTCTTGATGGACTTTTTGTATTCTTTATTCAGGCAGGCCTTTTCCTGAAATCAAAATTTCCTTAGGGTTGATCTGTGACAGCTTTTCAATCACTGCAACTTTACCGCAGATAAAGTTAAAAGCAGGGGAACTTGTCAGTTTAAACACATTGGTACTGATTTGGAAGAGGCCCTGCTTATTTCTTTCATTTCTCACAAAGCTTTTTTAAGTTCAACTGTACCTGTACAAACACATTTAAATTATTTTTTATTTTAATATTGTATGAACAATAAAACGAGAAATCAGAACTTTAGGAACTGGCTATTTATCTGTATTACCCAATTCCCTACTTTGATTTCTGCTTTCCTTGTCAGTGGCTGAGCCAGGGTGAGTGGTCACAAAAGCAATTTAAAGCCAGTTCCTCTGAGCGATTGCAGCTGGGTAGAAGCTTGGGTAGTCCAGAGACTGCTTTTATGGTGGCAGTGTGACAGTGTGGATCTAGGCACAGATTCCCATTTTTATTGGGTTTAGTGGTTTTGCTCCTACAGCCACACTTCCAGCAGTGCCTGTTCTGACTCATCAACGAGGCCAAGCTGTAAAAATTGCAGCATTTTTAGGTAAACTGAGCATAATTGGTGTAGAACCTCAAAAACCTTCACAATACCTAAGCTCTGCCCTTTGTGTGCAAGGAGGAATTCTGCAGGTTGTGGGACTTTTAAACCAAGGGGGTTGAGAATGGTGGATATAGAGGAAGACTCCTAATGACCTAACAGACATCACTGAATCTCTTCTAAAGGTTTGGGGGTTGCTGCCTGACTGGAAAAGTTACCACATTGTTTCCCTGGGCCGCATTGCTCTGGCCCTCACTGAGCACGAAATCCAAGAGCTGGATTTGCATTCCATCGACACTGTTTCTGTACTCAGTCAGCAGACAGAGTGGACTCTCACCCAGGTAGGTATCTTATTGATTGTAGTCCTGGTGAAGGGCTCTGGCTTCACACCCTTTGGGATTGAAGTCCTGGAATCTCCCAGGAAGCAGATGCAGAGATCCACACTGCTCCCTGCTGCTTTCCTGCAGCTGTGACCCCAGGGAGGGTGGGCAGGTGGGTCAGCACTGGTGTCTGCCTGGTGCTGGCTGCCCTGGTGAGGTGGCCAGGAGGACATCAATCACTGTTAATGGAGTGGTGACGAGTGTATTCTTTAGCACTTACCCACTAATAGTACAAAGAGGTCAGCAGCTCCTCTCACAGTGACCCTGGGATAGACACTGCAGCTGGGAGACACCAGTCCTGCAATCCCTGCAGAGGTAGAGTGCTCCCAGCCCCAGCAACCATCGCCCTAGAAACCTGTTATTAGCAGATATGCTCCTCTCATCTTTCTTTCCTCGAATTCTAGTTATGTCAGTGGGACTTTCACAGTAAGAGTTGAAAGCTTTTATTTGTACATGCAGTTGGCAGCAGATTTAGGCTCGAGCTGGACTCACAGTTTTTAAATGGTTGGTTTAGGACGAGCACAGCTCTAAATTAGTTGGGCTTGCAAAGGCACTTTGATACCAACATCCCATTCACATCTGAAAATCAATCCTAAAGAGAGGTCACCCCCTCTATATGACACTTAAATAAGACAAGGCAAACTGAGTATTAAAACAAATTAAAACTACATATTGGTCCCATTAGCATTGTATGTTTTCTTCTAGCAGTTTAACTGGGCATTTCTGCTGGGCAATCCAATGCCCTTTTCTCCTGGGGAAGGGTTTCCTTGGGAGCTGGCAGAGGAGGTACAGGTGTTTTCACACCCTTTGTGGTTGGGAAGTGGTTGTGTAGCAGTGCCCTGCTGGAGTGTCACATATAGGTGGTGACAGTGCTCCTCCTGAAGGCCATGGACATGCACTGGGGAGGTTTGGGATGTGTATTTATGCTCCAGAGCTTCTGGGAAGATCTTTAGCTTCTAGTAACATGCTTCTGTTCATGCTTACTGTCTTACTGCTTCTGTAGGCAAGATCTATTTTGGAAGGTTTTCTGGAAGACTCTGGCCAGACCATCAGCACACTAAAAAGCTTTGATTTAGTTGGACTGGGAGCTATTCTCTGTGCTTTGAACTCCACAGAAATCATGTCCATAAGGACTGCTGAATTCAGGTACTGCACTTTAAACTTAATGAAACATTTATTAGTATCTCTCTTGATAAAATGTATTGTCCCATTTTTGTTCTGTCGAGATTTTCAGAGCCCAAAGGACACCATTTTACATTTTAAATGTTTTTAGAAAGGCAATAACTGTTAGGGAAGGCAGTTGTTTAAAACATGTTCTATTTTAGGCTTCCTCTGCCATTTATATCCCACCATTTAAACACTGCATTGAGAAATCCAGGATTTTGCTGGAAGCCTTAAACTTTTGTATGCAATTTGTGTACATATATTTTAAACTGACAACTGGTTTTAAGAGTGATCTCACAGCAGACTGTGCATATTCCAGGCATGTTTAGCACTGCATGTTGGCTGCAGCCTGTAATGTTGCCCTCGTTGCCTTTTGCAGTGCTGCAGTTGCAAGAATTGGCCTGTTGGTTTGCAGCACCCCTGTCCTGAGGCAGCTGAAGAGGATGACAGAAGCTGTGTTTGGTGCTGCTACCAGCTGGAATGGCTCTGTTTTACAGGAGATTGGTACCATAGCAGGTAACAAAAGTCAGGCTCCAGATGGTGCTGGCTGCGAGGTCTTGTTGTTCAGCATTAAGAGACAGGTTCACGTAGCACTGAATTTTTCTAGAGTGGCAAAAAGACATTTCTTCCAGAGGGGAGGCATGATTGAGCTCCCTAATCTTGCAGCAGAAGGGGCTGTAACAAGCATTCACTAATAACACTGTTTATTATTTTACTGACTTTAATCATTCTCTTTTCCAAGATAAAATAAGTTGGGTAGAGCACATTCCAGACAGTGGTTAAGGTCAGATGATTTGTAATGTTGAAGATAATGAAAAACAAAACAAAACAAAACAAAAAGAGAATCAGTATCTCTCTCTATAACACCCTGTAATAAACAATTTATTCGACATTTGGTATAAATGCTTAAAATTTGTATTAGCTTAAAAAATAAATCTAATAAAAAGAACATTAACTGAGTTTTGTTCCTGTGGTTTGGGTTTTTTAGGTGGTTTGAATGAGGATGAATTAAAAGCTTTAGATAAAAGCTTGATGCCGTATTTCCAGCCAGCAGCAGTAAGACATATGCCTCCTGAAATTTTCCAAGTAAGAACTCTATTATGAAGAAGTGACTAAATTTCTGTCATTTTTACTCTCCTATAAATAAACTGCAGCACTGATTTATAGGTTTTGGGTTTCAGCAAAAATTTCTCTATGGTCTGCTAAGTGAGAGACCATCAAGGATCTGAAACATTAACTTTCAGCTGTGTCACCTGTACTTTTTCAGCTGTATCACCTGTCCTTGTGATGAAATATGCTGGACAAGCTTTATTTATTCTTCAGAATGCATCTTAAAGAAAAAGCAAAGATCTAGGGTCAGAAGGCAGGGAACAGACTCTCTTTCTATCACTACTGTATTCAAATCTGGGTTCTCTTCTCTGTTTAGTAACATTTGCAAGGGTGCTATAATAGCTACAAATTTCTCTGCTGAGTGTGTAAGAGCTGGTTTATTAACCTAAAATCTGGCAGTGTTCTACTGAGTTAGCTCTGACAAAACAGATTGTACAGACAGATACAGACCGGAAAGGAATTACATCTAATTACAGCATTTCTGAAAAACGTGCACCAGAAATTAGAGCAGGGATCTTGAGATCATCGCCCCAGACTTTATTTGACTTAGTGACAAGATTAATATTCTGCCTAGGCTGGTCTCTCTCAGATGCTCAGGCAAGCAATGTACTCATTGATGAGCTAAACAGATAGTTAACTGTGTCAGCTCCCATAAAAGAGAAAAACTCCTTCAACACTGACTGTTCTGCACAGCACCCCTGACAGTTTAGATAAGCCTGAAATACCCTTAGTGAAACTATTTCTTTGAAAAACAGATCTATAGCATCTTGTTGAGTTTCTGTCAAATAGCAGGCATCTCTGTTTGTGAGAGTGGTAGTGATGCCCAAAAAGTGCTCAGCAAATAACAGGGCGCCTTTTTGGAAGAGTTTCCCGTGTTTGAAAGATTCAAAGCAGAATTTTGGTTTTACACAGGTTTTGTATGGCTTCCTTTTGCAGCTGTATACATTATTCAGATTTTTATTCCTGGAAAATTGCATTGTATGATGGATTTTAACTGAGTTGAGAGGAAGCTCAAGTCAAAATATGGACCTGTAGGTATTACGTGAATTTGCTCAGTTTAAAGGAGTTCACCTTTGGCAGACAATGAAAAATGGGCAAGGATTTGCTCCGTCATCTGACCTACTTGGAAGGGGAATTTTGTCTTCCCAAAGTAGAACCTGGGTGCAGAATTGTTGCAGGAAAGAAGGCTCGTTGTGTAGGAGGGTTAAAATGCTTGTGACTGCAGAATGTTAACTAGAAGCAAAGCAATCCACCATGCCCAATAATGCAGGCTTTACAAACTGGGTAATTGCTATGTGATATAATTACTGTAAGATTATGATTGCCACGTTTAATTTTTAAATTTAATATGACCAAACTGTGAAGATTTTCAATCTAAAAGAGAAAATTGGATAATGAGATTAAAGCACAGGGGTTTTTTTCATCTGGTTGCTGTAATCAAAGGTCAAATGTTGGTTCAAGTGAGGTTGCTCAGGGGCAGATGTAAGACGAAGCAAATGAAAACACAAGAGGATGCACAATGCCATCAGTCTTTGAGCAAAATCAGAAAAGAAATGGCTGGAAAATTAATCTCCAACAATATATTGAAGAAATGTCCAATAGAATGCTGGCATAGAAAGCTTCTCAGGCTGTCAGCTCCCAGCATCAAAGAGAAAGGTGAAAGACAGATGAGTGGTCAGGGAAGTAAATGAATACAGAGGATTTTTTTAAGCTCTATTGAGCTCTTTTATAGCAACACGATGTTGAAGGCTACTGTCCCTCATTCCAAATGCAAGACAGTGCTGACTTCTGATTCCTTACCTGCTTTCTATAATTGACAGCCTGAACCAATTTTTCTCTTTTATTCCCCCAGGCATTGTCCCCAGAACAAATAGCAAACCTGGGCCCGGAAAACGCCGCCATGGTTACGGGATCCCAGCGGGAACATCTGGATGCATCCCAGCTCCAGAGCCTGAGGCTGGCGCTGGACGGAGCCAGGAGCAGCCCCCCCGAGGCCCAGAGCGGTGCAGGACCCACCCAGGAGGTGCCAACCCCGGCTGCAAGCGGTGAGTGGAGCCTCTCCCTCCTCCTGCTCAGGGGAAGGGCACTCACCAGTGGGCTGTCTCAGCATCCACCAGGACCAGACCTCTGTGGTGAAGGTGGGTGACAGGGAGTTTACTAATCAGCAAACCACAGGCTTGACCAAGACAAACAGCCAGGAGGTTGTTGGACTCACCCACAGCACGGGGTGATGGAGGAAGGCTGTCAGGTGGCATCAGCAGCTCTCTGCTGCTGGTAGCACTACACTGTGCTAAGCACTAACTCGTGTAAAATGGAGTCTGAAACAGGGAGGTTTTCCCTCTCCTTCCTTCCCACATTCTTTGCCCAAATTTAAGGCAGGACTCTCTGTCTCTGGGCCTTCAGGGCACAACCTTTACCTGCAGCACAACATTCTTTGCAGAGCTGCAAGTGGGAAAGGAGGTAGCACTGGGGTGGATTCTTTATCCAGACTGTAGGACCCACTGGACGTTTTTTCCATCCTATTTGGAATTAAAGCCTGTGACCCCAGTGACACATAAGCTGTTGAAGAAGAGAGAGGAAGTTGAAGTGCTAAAACGGGAGTAAGGGGAAACAAATTCCTGTGATGCCCTTGCTGGAATCAAAGCAGAGCTTCCCGGAACCTGGGAGGTGCTCCCAGCCCAGCTCCCTCCCAGGAGTGACCTTTTCCTCCTGGAGATGTGCCAAAGGGAGGAGTTCTCTGGGTAAAGATAACCTGGGTTCTTGAGCTTCTTGTTCACTGTTCCTGTCTCCAGGGAGCACCAGCCTATGAAATGTTTCTCTTTGGAGCTGTGAACATTGAACTGGAAGTGGCAGTTCTGACCAGTGGTGTCTTTTGAGCAGCTGAATGCAATGAGGATTCAGCTGGTGGAATTTGCTGTGCCTCTTTGGGCTGGTGTGGGACTGCACTGGACCTGAACTTTAGCGTGACACTAAGACATAATGGTTTCTGCCTTCCAGGTGCTCCCTGTTTGAGCAGCTTTGGCATCTGCTTGTGTGCTGTGTTTACACTGCACCTGCCTTTCTGACCCACGATTGTTAATCTTGAGGTAAGTTATATTTTCAGGAAGGGGTAACTTTATCACAGAAGTGTCGTTCACCTGTAACAGCGAGGGAGGACTGTGGGACCCTCTTCCTGCTTTGAATACAGAGATAACAATGTCTGAATGATTTTTCTGTATTACAAAGGTGTCTTGTATCTGTTAGACTATCTCTGAGTCTAATCAAGGGGAAAGCACTATATCTTATCTTTATTGTCGAGCCAAACACAACAAAAGTATATTTAAAATTCCATGTAACACCAATCCATTACTGCATTGTTATTTGGCACGTGTTCTTGGTATTTATCTGTTTTGCCTGCTCCAGTCTATTTATAAGACTTTATTTCACAACCACTTTGATAATCTCCATCTAAAAGAATGTTGTCATTAACTTTCATTGGATTTTAACATTTTGACATGTTAAATTTTAATGAAAGCACTGGTGGGCTTAAGGCATAGATTCCAATTAAACAAACTAAATCTTTAAGTATTCTAACTTAGTCTTTAAGACTGCAAAGTGAGATATGTCAAAAGACTTAATATTTTTCTTTGTTTTTTGATTTTCAGAGTCCTGCAGCTTACAACAGATATGCTAGAGAAAAAGAGTTTTCAGCTCAGCATGAACAGTAGAGTCAAGAGGCTCTGAGACTTCTGAGTGCAAAGTGATTAATTTTTTAAAAGCAGCACACTCATGTGCCATCATGCTGAGAATTATCTCCTTTCCATACCTTTACCATTAGCAAGTAACTCAGTGTCCCTCCAAACACTTCAAAGCTGGAAATGGCCTATCTGTCTCATGAGAAAATCAATGAAAGATAAGATTATGTGTTGGGAAGGAACCTGAATGCCCTGGGGGCAGGTAACAGGGGCCTGCTTTTCACATGGGCTAATTTGGCCACACGATTGTACCAATCTGTTGGGTTTTCTTCTTCTATTCCAAGTGCACATTCCCTGGATATGGGTGATCCTTCTGTGTGATGTGGTAGAAACTGCACTAAAAGTTACTGCTGTTGCAATAAAGTAACTTCTGGGCTGCTGTTTTAAATCCTGCTCAGATAAGAAGCGATAACACGTTTTTAGAATTTAAGCACCTGCACAAAATGTCGTTCCCCGTGGCTGTTTGTGTTCCACAGAACCAGTGACACTGAGGGCACTGGCAATATATTAGTATTTCATGGGAAAAAATGCACCCTGGAAACCTGCTTGTGTTCATCAGGAGACAGTCCCTTCAGTCCAGGTAGGGTTGAAGTGAACATCTGGGAATGCTGAGGGAAAACTGGGTCTACATACTACCTAGACTGTCGAGCCTCTGCATGTAAACGTACATTTTGATGCTGCTCAACATGACTTTATGCCAAGAATTCATGGTACAGTTTTCCATTTTGCCATTCAAAAGTCTTTATCTTTTCCAGATTAAAAAAAGGCAATACATAAACATTTATTTAAATAGAAAGAAATTTGTTTTATCAATCCCAGCAAATACTCATGAATGCCCACTAAAACCAAAAAATACTTCAGCAGGTCAAAGACCTTATAAAGATTTATCTGTGCTTTCACATTAAAAAGTTCCGCCTCACTTAGATGTGAAAGTGCCGAAAGGTTGTTTGATTTCTAGAAATTGCCTCACTTGAATCCTGTGTGCACTTCAGTGAAGATGCAGGAGAGTGTTTTCTTGTCAAGAAGACAGCAGCATTTCCAGTTCAGCTGCCTAAGTCAGGTACATGCTTTAGCTATAGCAAGCACTTCAAAAATCTATATGAGCTGAAAGTGATCTTCTTCTGTCAATAGAATGTACCTGGGAGTGATTCCGTCTGCAATCACGGGAGTCAGAGTTTAGCTTTTAATTGGAGCAGGAGTGAGCTCTTTTGTTTTGTGCCATCTGTGCTGTAATTTCTTTCAAGCACAAGTGCTTTTAAATAGCTGAACTCCTTGATTACTTATGTATTTTATTAAGTTAATAATTATGTTAAGAACTTTGGCATTGCATTTACATTTGGTTGAAGACGTATCTGTTTCTTACAAGAGCAGTGTAGGAGGGGTAAATGTGGAGCACCCACTTAATGTCCTTATTTCATGGTGAGATTACAAATCCTATTTGGTTCATGGGCATGAAAAGGAATTTTACTCTTGCCAATGAGTAAAGGTCACTGATGGAAAAGCCCATTCTACAAAACCTGAGTTTCATGAGACGCCTCCCTCAAAACTGTTGAATTTCTGGGGGAAGAAGAAATGTTGCTGTTTGTTGTAGATGTGGGTAACGTTTGTTTAAACCAAGCTTAATTTTTCCTATATTCTTTCTAGTTCTTTTAGTTCTTTGAGAACAGAAAAAAAAAAAATCAGATTTGGGCATAAAATGTGCTGTTGAATATATATCGTGACATTAATTTTATTTACTCCACTCCACCTGTGACTCCTCTGATGGTTGCTGGGCAGTGCCATACGTACTGTGGGATGCCCATCCAACTCCTCACAGTCTGACCTAACTCTGGTGTAGGCCTGGCTCTTCTGGGTGCTGTGACAGGTGCCCCTGTCTGGCAGTGTGTACAAGGAGGTATTTCACTTAATTCCTTTGATTGGAATTAAGAGGTTAACAGATGGGAAGAAATACTTCGTTGGCTGATTGTTTCAGTGCCTGATACCTTTATATTCAGAATTGTATTTAGAAAAAAGAAGGGGGCTATTGGTTCTGGGTTATCAGTAGGGAAAATATCTCTATGACTTGATACTGAGGTAAATGCCATATTTGTGATATCTTTAAAATCCCCAAAGGTAAAAAAACAACTACCCATCCCCAGTGTCTGAACACTGTCTCTGTTAAAGCTGGCATTATGGCTGTTGTCAGGTTTTGTACGGTACATGGAATGTTTCACTCCCAGTGATCCCAATCCGTCACATCAGAGCCAACCAGCTCTTCTGGGTGAGGCTCTAAAGATTCTGCTTATAAAAAAAAAAAAAAGGCACCCTTCCTTAATTTTAAGAAGCCCTTTTTGCTTCTGAATAATCTGCTCAAATATTCCAGAGGCAATTATGTACTGCACTATGGCAGATTTAGCTTATCTCTTGACTGCTGCCCCCAGGGACCATCCCCACCTCAGGTATTTTCCGGTAACACAAATTGCAGCCCCAACATATTGGACTGGGGCCTTGTCAGAGTCCCACTGACTGCCCACCTTGGAGCAGATGCCAGACGTGCCCCAAGGTGTGCCAGCCAAAGCCACCTGGGGCTGTGGGAGAGGTCTGGCTCGCTCCAAGGACACTCAGAAGAGAGCAAGGAATCCAGTAGTCACCTGGAATGTGTCACTTGAGCAGGTAACTGGCTGTAGAGCACGTGCTGGTGTTTTGGCTCATGCTGTGTTGTTGACACCCCATGCTGCTTCCCAGTGGGACGGTGCCAATTCCAGCTCGGCAGTCGAGGAACAGAATCATCAAAGTGCAGCACCTTGTTTCCCTGGGGTAGCTCCTTCCTTAGAAGGAGAAATCAAATTTCAAATTATCTCTTCCTCTATTTTTTTCTTCCTCAAAAAAGGCTGATATTTTAGGCTGGTACACAACCTAAAGCAATTTGGTCTCTTTATCTCAGTGAAAATGTTTAAATGTTTTTTATAAATTTTTTTGGGGGGGTTGGGTTTTGTTTTGGTGGGTTTTGTTTTGGTTTGGTTTTTAAATAAAACCTATAAGCATGGGACTAAGCAGAGCCAAGAACCTTACAGTCCTGATTAGTAAAATATTCTCTGCCATGTCATATGATGTTTGACAGCCTTGGGCACTGCTTACTCCAGTACTGTTGAGGTGAGGGATCTGACTGCCCTTTCCCTATCCAGGTATCTGTAATTTCATATTTTAATAAAGTGTCTGGTCCATTATCAGACTATCTTTCCATATCTGTATACACAGTCCTTAAACAGAGAAATTATAAGACTAACCTGACCTTGCCTGGCATCAGAGCATGGAGCAGTTTTTTAGGATAGGATATTTTTATCAAAATTCACATCTGGTTCTTTATTTGTACCCAGAAATAGATAGTCACCAAAGGTATTACATTTTTTCTGCAATGAGTAGAAAGCAGCCAATGTCCATCTGTCTCTTCTTGCCCCTTTCTGTTCAGCATCAGTCTGCTTTTCCAATCCGGATTAATGAGAGGATTTTCTTGCCCTCATGATGCAGGAACACAGGCATGTGCAGAGCTCACAGTCCAAGTGACTATACATTGAAGTATTCAATGGAGGAATTGTGATTGCTGCATTTCTTGCTTTGCTGGCAGCAGCATAACATTTATTTTCTCATGTTTTAGCTGGTATTAATTAGTCTTAGAAATACTTAACAACATCTCACAATATCTGTGGTCTTTGGGAGACAAAGAGAATAGAAGAGAAGCCAAGAGTAAAATCATGAAAGCAGCAGAAAAGGCTAATAGTCACAAATACAGCAGGATAGTATTTTCTGATACTGCTTTCCCCAATATTTTTTAACTGTTGTATATAGAAATGAACTGTATTGATTTATCAAAGAATAGCCATTGCACAGTTAAAATCATGTGTTGGTTTGATGCACAAGCTGCCTTAGGTCATCTTTAATTGGGGCCTGACATGTTTCAATATTTAATCAGATGTCAGAAAACAACTTAGATCACAAACAAGTTCCGAATATATCCTGCATGAACTGAGAAGGGGGTTGAGAGAGAATGGATGTCAGCTCTCTGCCTTTAAAGTATCTGTTAAAATATATTCCAGATATGCATCTGTCAGTGTTTTTATTAGCTACTTTTATTTCAGTACCCATCCTTTCAGAAGTGTTGAGATCTGAGGTATTAAATGTCCATATTTCAATCAAGCCTGTGTCAAACAGTCTGTACCACAGACCTGGGGAGTTCTGCCAAACGCTGTCACCTTCAGTGCAAATTCTCCAGGTGCTGGATTTGGGTTCCTAAAATGCGTCCTCAAGTGAGCAACTCACTGGTAGTTACATCAAACATTATTTGATGCCAAAAAAGATTCAACATCTGTTTAATTAGACTTCAAATCTATTAAACTTTTCAAATGAACTCTTCTCTTAGGGCATTAGAAGTGTAAGATAAGAGATGCTATGGAGCTTGTCAAGGAGTTGTACTGCTGTACTTGTACACACAGTGATGTAAGAGGACAGGCTTTGATTCCTAATCTCTGAAAATAAGTAAATTTGTTTCTGTCCCACTGTGGGTACTTATTAAAAAAGATAAACTCAATAGGAGGTACTAATCAGTTCTCTTTTCTTTTGAGGAATATGTAAGCCCTTTAAAGATTGCAATATTTGTGTTACAATTTAAAGAGGAAAATTCAAGACTGCAATTAGGATCCTTTTCATAAGTTTTCAAAGAATCCATAACCTTCTGCTGGGGAAATTTTCTGGATATTGTTCTGTAACAGTTAAGTCCTCACACTATTTCGTGAAATAATGTAAGCCAAGAGATTTTTAAGAAATAAGGTACCCCACAAAGCATCCCCATTTAGTTAGGATTTCTACAGTCATTGGAAATCCCATTCCTGTGAGGCTATTCCTGGTTTTCTGGGTTATTGTTTGGATTGTTGCCTTTTTTCACAGAGAACGTCGGAGAGTTATCAAGAAGAGATGCCTCTGAACTGCTCACTGAACTCTGCTGGTGATTCCCCTTTCAGGGTTAGGGATTCATGGCTGTGAAGAGGCACCGTGCTGACTCACAGAGCCGGGTTGCTGCAAGGAATAATTGCCTTTTTTTTTTTTCTTGGAAGATTTCATAGAATCAGAGAATTGTTAGGGTTGGAAGGGACCTCTGGAGATAATCCAGTCCAACCGCAGGCCAAGGCAAGGTCACCCTGGGCAGGTGACACAGGAATGTGTCCAGGTGGGTTTGGAATGTCTCCAGAGAAGGAAGACTCCATGCCCTCCCTGGGCAGCTCTTCCAGTGCTCTGCCACCATCAATGGAAAGAACTTCTTCCTCCTGTTGAGGTGGAACTTCTTGTGTGTTAGTTTATGGCCACTGCTCCTTGCCCTGTAGCTGGGCACCACCGAAGGGTCTGGCACCATCCTGGCACAGTTGCCCAGCGAAGCTGTGGCTGCTCCCTCCAGCCATGAAGTGTTCAAGGCCAGGTTGGACAAGGCCCTGAGTAACCTGGTGTAGCGAGTGGCATCCCTGCCCAAGGCAGGGGGGTGGAATGAGACAATCTCTGAAGTCCCTTCCAACCCAAACCATTCCATAACATCCATGATTCTGTGATCCTCTTGGCGCCCGCCTGAGATATTTATATGTATTGATGAGATTCCCTTTTCAGTCTTCTCTTCCCTAAACAGGCCCAGCTCCCGCAGTCCTTCCACATGAAGGGGAGGCTCCAGACCCCTCACCACCTTTGTGGCCTCCGCTGAACCCGCTCCAATAACTTACACAGATTTTCACCTAAAAAACGTGCATCAAATCAACTGCTCGTTCTCACAGAACGCGACAGCAGCTATTCATATACATTTATTAGCTCTTACATTTCTAAACTGCTGAGTTTGGACGCCCAAAAACCTCGAGAGCCGAGCCCACCCTACCGCCGCCCCACCCGGCCCGGCCCGGCCCGCGGTTCCCGGGGCGGCCCCGGCTGAGGGCGGAGCGGGGCGGGCGCTCCCCCCCCGCTTCCCGGCGTGCACCGGCGCGGGGCTGCCTGGCCACGTCCCCGGGCCACGTCGCTCGGTGCCCGCTGAGCTTGCGCCATCTTCGCTCCCCGGCTCCGGCTGCGCCGCCGCCTCTGCCGCCGCCGCCATGAACATCTTCCGCCTCACCGGGGACCTGTCCCACCTGGCGGCCATCATCATCCTGCTGCTCAAGATCTGGAAGAGCCGCTCCTGCGCGGGTGCGTGCGGAGGCCGCGGGGCGGGACCGGCCGGGCGGCTCCGGGCCGTGGAGCCCCCCCCCCGGGGGGGAGCCCCGCCGGGTACCGGGCGGCATCGCCCCCGCAGCGCCGCGGCCGCTGCGATCGCCCCCGCGGGGCCGCGACCCGGGGGGAGGCCTGGCGAGCCGGGGTGGGGTGGGGGGTCCCACCGGCCCGGGAGGGGCCGTGGTGGAGCGAGGAGAGGCGGAGAGGGGGGATTGACCCTCCTGGGCTGCCCCCGAGGGCTCCCGGGGCAGGCGGGCGGGCGGGACTCGGGCCGCGCAGGTGAAAAGGGACGGTCGTTCTCCCCGCGCAGAGAAGGGGGCTCTGCCCTCCTCCTGACCTCCCCCGCCTCGGCCCCCTCCAAATCCAGCGCTAGGGAAGCGGGTGGGCAGCCGGGAATGGAGGGGAAGGAGTGAGCCGCACCCCCGCTCGGGGTGGGGGGCGCCGGCGGGAGCTGCCGTTGCCTGAGCGGTGTTGTGGTTGCCATTATTTGTACTTTAATCCCTGGGCACCGGCGCTCCGGCCGTGCCCGGGAGGGTCGCTCCTTCCTTATGTAACTCCCCGGCGGCGGGCGAATGAATGGGGAGGCCGGTTTGGAGGAGGGGAGGGGGAGGAATGCGTCCCCCGCGGGGCGGGCAGCCGCCTCCCTCCATCCCTCCGTCCATCTCCCCATCCCTGCCCGCGCCCGCCGCCTTCGGGGAAGGCGCTGGATCTCGTTCCTCGCCTTCCCGGGCCCTGCTCGGCCTCTGGGCCGCCGGTATTCGGCGGCAGCTCCGTGTTTGGAGCGGCGCCGGGAGCCGCTCGCACTTCGCAGCCCCTGAAGTTTCCGCGCTCGCCCCTTCCCTCCGCGGCGGCCTCACTCCCCTTTTGTGCAGGAATTGGACTGTGGGTCGTGCCGGTTTTAGGGCGTTTGTTTGCCTGGCCAGCTGCAGTAGGAAGCTGTAGGACAGAGATTCCAGGCGGGATCGGCGGGCCCGTCTGACGTGGCAGCGGGAGGAGCGCCGGGTCCCGGCCGGGCGAGCCCCGCTCCGCCGCCCCCCGGGTGGGATCGCGGCTGCTCCCCCCTCTTCTGCACGGGCCTGCTCGAATCCCGTGCGCTGTGCTTCGCTCTCTCCCTTCTGCTGTACGGTGTGGTGGTTGGAGGGAATTGCAGGCAGTGCCCGTAACTGCAGCATAGCCGGTTTCTTTCAGAAAACCGGGAGTTGTTGTCATTCAAAATGGGCATTTCCGTGCTCGGTGTGTTACGTGGATCGGGCCGCCTGCCCTGCAGATAACTGTTTTTGCTGTGCACCGGGGGTTTGACTGTGAGCTTGGCTTTGCCTTCTCTCCAGTGAGCTTCTCCTTCGTTAGTGAGGGTGACTGTTCTTGAAATCAGTTGGCCGTGTGTTGACGTGAGATATTATTCAAATACCAGGTTAGCATTGTTGATGTATTCGTAAAGACTTCAGTTAAAAGCGTGAAGAATTAGTTTAAGCTGTAACCTGAAATAACTGCTAATGGGGAAATGAAAGAGATTTACACTCCAGGTAAGAGGAAGTACAGGTTCTGTATGTTTTCATGTCA